TTTCAAAGTCTGTCATGGACTCGCTAATTGCTCTTTGAGGCCTACAGATAACAGAGGGTCCAATGAGTTCGACAGAGCTCTAAGGAGTCCGCAGAGGGCCATTTCAAGTCGATATTTTACCTTTTCGACACTTTGCGTTCGTTATTTTGTCTTTTCGATATTTTGCGTTCGATATTTTGCCTTTTCGATATTTTGCGTTCGATATTTTGTCTGTTCGATATTTTGCGTTCGATATTTTGTCTTTTCGATATTCTGCTTTCGATATTTTGCCTTTTCGATAATTTGTCTTTCGATATTTTGCCTTTCAATATTTTGTCTTTCGATATTTTGTCTTTCGATATTTTGCGTTTCGATATTTTGCGTTTCAATAGTTTGCGTTTCGATATTTTGCTTTCAATATTATGCTATTCGATATTCTGCGATTTCGATATTTTGCAATTCGATATTTTGCGATTCGATATTTTGCGATTTCGATATTTTGCGGTTTCGATATTTTGCAATTCGATATTTTGCGATTTCGATATTTTGCAATTTCGATAATTTGCGACTTCGATATTTTGCTTTCGATAATTTGCGTTCGATATTTTGCGCTTCGATATTTTGCGTTTCGATATTTTGTCATGGAAGCGGTTTGCCCCCCCCAAAAAAAACTCTGAGCTGGATCCGCCTCTGTAAAGCGGAAATGGTTAGCATTTACACATATTCAAAAGGCACCGTTGGACAAACTGTACGAGCGCATAGCTGCAATATCAGGTTATGGAAATTTCCTCATGTTTAGGGCACAAATTATGAAGGGCAAGAATATACGTTTGCCCCTCCTCCAAAAATTTCTTAGGGGATGATGCCTCCTCTGCCACCCCGTATCCGTCGCCTCTGTAAGCGGTCACTGAAGGCCTGGGACCTGGGTTGCCGCTGCGTCACGTTGACGCTTATAATGCCTCCAAAACTAGGTTGAAGAGAGGAAAACTTCAATTGAACGCGAACGCTGGCAACGTATGATAAAGTAATGGGCATCTGGTTACATCTTCAGATGATCGAACAGAATAATCAGGTATATGGTTTCTTGTCTAAGCTTTGTCACAAATTATCGAGGGGGGGGGGGGACAAAAAGATGCTTTTGCCCCCCCCCCCACGAGTTTGCCAGGGGGCAGCTGCCCCCCCCCCCTGCCCCCCCCCCGAATCCGCCGCCCCTGCGGCTTTGACCTGACCCAAAAAAAAATGACCGAAGTGTTTCCGTCATTACTTTTGACGCTCTTTCGAATACCGCTTACCGCGTGTCGTTACGTGGCCCAGGAGCCAAGTTAAACGGGAGGGGTGGGGGGCGGGTGTGTGTGTGTTCACTGTTCAGACCTCCCCCCCCCCCCGGCCCGGCACGGAAGTCGCGGAGCACCGGCCCAGCGCGGGTTAACGCTCTTTCTGGCGTGAGCACTCAGATTTGACCTAGGACTAACAGTTAACCCGCGCCCCGCTGGGGGGGGGGGGGGCCGAATCTGCCCCTTCCCGTTTTTCGCCAATAACTTCTAAACGCGTTACGCCAGCGACGTCAGACTTTCAGTACCTTATCATACATCAATTTGACACGTTCCCTGAATATTTGAGGGAAATCCGTCGGAAATTTTATGAGAAATTGACGTTTTTGTGACGTCTTGTTCGCCATTTTCGCCTAAAAAATGGCAAAATTTCAAACGCCGCTAACATCTTCATTTTTAAAGGGATCAAGACGTAACAAAAAAGGTTAAACGTGATTCTACTTCGTCTATCAAATGGCTAAATCGGTTTTTTTGAAAATTTTGGATTTTGGCCCAATTTTTTTTTCTAAAAAAACTGACTTTTTTGGGAAAATAATTATAAAATCCAAAATTTTGAGTGTGTCGAAAAAAAACGGAATATATGTCAGAGAAGTGGTGTATGTGCACCTACATACCAATTTTTAGAAGAATCGGTTAAAAATGTGGGAGTTATTCAAATTTTTATGACGTCAAGACACACAAATTTAAAAAAAAAAAGATTTTTTTGGAAGTTCTAGACCTCGTACGGAAACAAAAATAGAACCATTCGACTCGCCGTGAAAAACTGCATCAGATAGATACCTTTTTAGGCCTTATCAACCAACTTCAAAATTTGACCTCACTTGACCTGACCTCGACCTGAAATCATCCAGAGGTGGTCCATATCACTTATTAAGTGTGCCTATTGAATTCTATGAGTAAAATGACCCATAAAACATGTGTCGCACATGCCCTTTTCTATATTTTGTTTTTGGTGACCTGACATGACCTGACCTGACCTTGACCTTTGAATGACATTATATGCAACGAATATTGTCTTGGTAGTCTAAGAACACGTTTTGGGCAATCAGTCTCAGTCCATTCTTCGGCAACTACGGTGCAAGGCCGATACTGTAGAAACTTGCATTTTGTACCCTTGACCTGACCTCTGACCTACTTAAGCAAAAAAAAAAAGGGCTCTTAAGATCCGCCTTGTTTAGAGCTTTCAATTGCCGTTTTCCCCGTCTTTCTATGACCATCGGTTCGGAAGTTAGACAGGGGGGGGGCAGAATCTGCCCCCCCCCCTCCCCCCCAGCAGGGCGCGTATGGCTGAATAGCCCAGCGGGGCGCGGGTTAAGCCTCCAGATGGCAAAAACTCGAAAAATAACAATTTTTAAAGAAAAAATGTTTTCCCGTAGGGTTGCTTTTGAATTAAAAAAAGATACATTTATTTTGCAAGCATCGTGTTACTCTCGTCAAGATGCATGGAATCAACTATTCATGACTGACCTTGAATGGTCAACTCGAAAATTTAACCCTCGCCGGCCGAGGTGGGGCCGCCGCCCCACGCCTAGGGCTTCTCTCGCGATAGCTCCGAACACGCTGGCGATGAGCTGAAACTTAGCATACCTGACCTTTGATTCTAGCCGGATCTTTTGACACCAACCGCATTTTCGGGTCAGGTCAGGTCACTGACCTATGTGCTATGACGTCATAAGCGAGCCTCTGCACGGTCTTGAGATGTCGCAACTTCGCAACGCCCTCACTGCCAGAGGAGCTTTCACAGGGAAATAAAACTTGCAAGATCTAGTAGCCGTTACGAGTCTCACAACTTGTATAGGTACCTATCTCGGATTTTTCCTAAAGGTCATATGAGGTCAGGTCATTTTCGTGACCTGACCATTTTAAGCCTATGGGGAAAATGAAACTGCTATTCTGGCGCCGGGAACGATCTCCAGATATCTCAAGCACACAGAATCGTGATTTGATACACTCCTTGCAAGATTCGATGCGTCACTTTTGCAATGTTGACCTTGTGTGACGTCATTTATGACGTCATCAAGGTCATATTAGTTTTTCGTCAATAACTCCCGATCGAATTGAGCTAGCGAGTCGGGAAAGCCACCAATGGACTCATGAAGACCTGCTGAATCGAATGATATGCGACATGACCTCACTCGACCAATTTCGTGACCTGGGGGCGCTGACCTGACCGTGACATGAGGTCAACACTCTAAGTCGACCTCACCCAAACAAAAAGTAAATCATTCGACGCGCCTAAGCGAGGCGAGCACGATGCTGCCAAAATCGCGGCTCTGCGGCTGTTTTATGCGAAGCTATTCACCAAAAACGGAACCGTACCTTGGGGCACTTGACCTGACCTCAGAGGTCACCGGTTGACCTAGGACCTTAAAATCGGGTATCAATCCATCTCTGCGTCTCGTAACGGCGCACACGCTCGTTTTTTTCCGCGACGCGCTAGCTCCACCAGGGGCGAAACGGCGAGGGGGAGGGGGGTCGTACCCGCCCCCCTCGGCCGGCTCGTATGTAGAAAACCAATACGTCCGGCGAGGGTACACCTCAGGTCAAGGGTCATAACCTAACGAAAAGGTTATGAGGCTAATCAGTCGATCCGTATCGCGTAGCCGAATGCACCAAGGCGTGTTCATCGCTCTAGTATGCCTCCATCAGAAGTTAAGCGAAAAACTGCGCCGATGCATTTCGTGACCTGAGATGACCCCGGGGACACGAGAGGGGCTTAGGGTGCCATTTTCCGGTTCAGTGTGTCTTGTTTACCTGTAATTTGGTGAATGAGAGTGTCAGAATGACGTTCGTCTGAAAGAGACGCCTTTGAATGTTCTCCCTTGGACTTTTACTGTAGAGGGCACAAAACTCAAACCGATCTGACCTTTAATCACCAATATAAAAATTCCGAGATATACATTTCATACATGCTGCTGTACTTATCAATGGTGGAAAGTTTCAAAGCCATCCGTCACTCGGTATAGCTGTGGCAAGCATTGGAACTTTTTCTAAGGTGAGGTCACTTGAAGTGACCTGGTAACCTGACCTTGAGGCTGGAGAGTCTTCGGTTTGAAATTTTACAAAATGCGCAGAAAAGATGTACCTACGATAAAGTATGCCCAAAACGGCGGTGCTCCGCGCCGGCGCCGCCCTTTTAAAGACATTTGTGAAAACTGCAAGGGGTGCGTTTAGTCAACACAAATCACCGAGGTCCACAATACGGGACGAGGTAAGCAATATGTAGGTGGCAATGCCATAGCGACAACAATATATTTCATCGTTTTATGCCACCATGGATGTTTTATGTATGTATTAACATCAAAAAGTCTTCCACATCCAGCGTGGCGATGACGGCTTAGATCCGAGTCATAGTTATAGGTAACAAGCATGCAGGTGGGAGAGAACAGTGAACACTCAGCACAATACATCAGCTGCCTTCCATTGGGTCGCGACAGAAACTTATCAACGTACCATGTCTTTACATATCCAGCAACCGAAGATCGAACATTTTACAAAAATCTAGAGATATTTGAAAATGTACCACAAATAATCGCCTCCCAAAACACCTAACAACAGATAACCTGAAAACCAATGTCAGAGATAACGCACCTGTGCACCTATACACCAATGTGATTCATGACTACAAAAAATAGGCTGCAGTCCGCATACAATCACGCAAAATGTCTGCATATCGATATATCGTAGACAAGAAAAAACACATCAAAATGCTTATAAGAATACAAAAATAGTAAACCCTGAGTAGCCATGATCATTCAGCATTCAAATAGAGTTTCATTCAGAAGCTTAACAGATGGGCTCGCGGAAGACAAATCACAAGCGTTACACGATTGTCACTAGGTCTTCCAGCAGCAACGTCAAGTACAGCATCTCTCTTTTATCACCACCACGCTCAACGTAGGTCGATTTCGAGATTGAATCCCCGACCTCTGATGGTGGTGAAGACGATCGGCTCCGTCCTCCCATTCAGAAAATGAGCTGCGGTCTCCATCACGCCGAGACTAACAGCAGCTGCCTGTGTCCAAAGGGGAACATTGGGGGCTTCACAGTTGGGACGAAACGCTGGGCGAGATCATGTTGGTATGGAGACCGGCGCTGGCTACACACAGCTCCCGCCATCCGGAAACATACCGCGCTGCCGGCATTACCGCTGTTGCTGCTGCTGCTGCTGCTGCTGCTGCGCAGCTACTGCGGACAGCTGGTGCAGCTGGTGCTCCGTCGCCAGACTGATCACCTGACTCTCCTGTCCCTCCGGCAGGTCCATCACAAACAGCTGCACCATCGGCTCAGTGGGCAGCGCCGGCTGCACGGCCGCCGCCGGCGGCTGCTGAGGCGGCGGCGGCGGCGACAGCAGTCCAGTCTTGCCACACTTGTCCTGATGCGCCTGCAGCTCGGTCCGCTTGCTGAACATGCCGCCGCAGCGGACACAGGTGTGGCCGGAGCCGGCGCCGTGCACCCGACGGACGTGGGCCGTCATATGCGGACGGGACGCGAACGCCTTCCCGCACTGTTTGCACAGGAACGGCCGCTCGCCAGTGTGCACGCGCATATGATTGTGCAGATCTCCCTGCTGAATGTAGGTCTTATCACACAGCTGACACTGGAACGGCCGCTCGCCTGTGTGGTAGCGCATGTGCACCGCCAGTAGCGTCCGCTTCAGGAACGTCTTTCCACACGTGTCACAACTGAAAGGTTTGTCGCCCGTGTGCATGATGCGTCGGTGCGAGCTGAGGTAGTTCTGCGAGACGAACAGCCGGCCGCACGTCTCGCAGCAGAAAGGCCGCTCGCCCGTGTGCACGCGCCGGTGCACCTTCAGTGATTCCTCGCGCACGAACCGCTTGGAGCAGAACTCGCAGGCGTGCGGCTTGACGCCGCTGTGCACGGGTACGTGTTTGGCCAGCTCCTCGGCCTTGTAGAACGACTTTGAGCAGCCGTCGTGCGGACAGATGTGCGGCCGGACGCCCGTGTGCGACACAGAGTGTTTGGCCAGCAGCTCCTGCGTGGCGAAGCCGCGGCCACACGTGTGGCAGACGTGGCTCTTTTCGCCCGTGTGGATGCCCACGTGCTGGGTCAACTGGTCGTTACGTCTAAACTGGGCTCCGCAGTACTGCGAAAGGCGAGAGATGAACCGAGGTCAGCTAGCAGGATGAAGCGGTTCATAGAAACACACAACAGGAAACGGGGGCAGGCAATCTGGCCATATGTAGCCAATCTATCCAGTGAAAACGGCGGCACACACGGCACACAGTACCGAGCGAGCAGCAGTCCCCAGCGCCGGCGGCTGCGATCGCAGAGCGCCGGCGACCGTACCTCGCACGAGTAGGGTTTTTCGCCGGTGTGGATCCGCCGGTGGCGTCGCAGGTCGCCGCTCTGGATGAACATCTTGCCGCAGAACTCGCACGTAAACGGCCGCTCGCCAGTGTGGAATCGCTGGTGGTTCTGAAAATACGATGGACATAAAATGATGAGGCAAGAACACGCGAGCTTAACATAGGCACACTAGTCGAAGAGCAACAGTCGGTAAAAATATTCCACGATATTACCAGATCCAAAAATGGTGTAAGAGTATAATAGTGGTGAATAGTAGGGAAACGCAGCGCGATTATTCAACCATTTCATCTCACGATTTTTTTTTTATTCGATCAGGTCCTTGGATTTGTGTTATATAATACTGAACGAGGCCGGTGTAAATAAATTTTCAAGACCGAGGTCCTTACTGGATTTTTGAACGAGGCCGAAGGCCGAGTTCAAAAATCAGTAAGGACTGAGGTCTTGAAAATTTATCACCGGCCGAGTTTGGTATGTATTTTACTGTATGCCAACGATGCCAACGATAAATTTATTTTCTGGACCGAAGCTCTTAGCCGACTTAGGAACGAGAACATCCCAAAATGTTGGCTTAAGTGCATTCTGGTAATGCATTTTTGACCGTGGTCAATTTGCTTACACCAGTTATTACCACACCCCTCTGGCTAATGTATTTGAATAGACCAGGCATACAGTAAATACCTATCTTGCACTATATAACCTGACTGTAGGTATAGCAGGCAGGTTATGTACCAAGTGACCTACCGGCTGCCGTAAGGGCCATCCTCTCGTAGCACTGTTCGTCGGAACCAATGTTAATCAAGCCCGGCAGCCAATCAAGGCTCACGGAAGCAATATCATTAGCGGTAGCCCGGCGGCTGGTTCGGTGACGGCAGCTTCCCCGTCCCCCGCAGACTGTTCCCTAGATAGGATCCCTTGCTCGGGCGGGCCGCGCTCACTTGTGATGACTGGCTGGCGGGTCTTCTGGCTAAAGTTATACTTAATATAATGGTCAATGATGTAATATAACATTAAAATAATTATAAAAAGAGGAAGCGATTACTAGCATAGTAATTTTAAAACTTTTTTTTTCATTGCCCAGTCATCACAATGATCTATTTCGCTAGCTCCAAGCAGCACCACATCGCCTACACGAGAGTACCGAGAAGAATAAAAAAAGATCCCGGCTCCGTCTCAATACGGACAACGCGCTCACTTTTCGGCTAAGTTCTGATTCAGTTAGAGCTAAAACGGCGAAGGATCGTGCCGCATCGACCATCGACCCTCCGTCGGTATGCAGGAAACCGATAGGCTCGGCGAGGGTCACAATGTGACTTTGAAGAACTGTCATAGGAACGGCGGTAGTAGCTTTAAGGTTACTCGAGCACAGAGCCCACACATGAAGAAGAAAAAAAATGGTCAACACGTCTCGCTAAAATTTTGTCGCAATAATATCTAATAAGCATATCGGATTGGAGATGAAAGTCTTTGGATGCTATCAAGGCCGTATAAGAGCTGGGGCTGGATGCTATGCAATCTTGCTATGCACCAGTAAAACGCCTTTTTGGGCGAGAAACAAGCGAGCGAGAGGGTGAGCCTTGCACGTGCAGAATTGCGAGGGGGTACTTCCTAATGACTTATTCACGGCATTCTACTAACCGGCATACTACTACTATTCACGGCATTCTCCACAGATGTGCGACATTTGAGCGCAATCGGTTCAGCCGTTCTGGAGATCTGGAAGCGGCAACCAGCACGAGCGCACGTGCAGTAACGAGCGAGCCGACGCCTTGGCGAGGGAAGCCGCCGAGCTAGACCAGGCCGGCGCCCCCCTGGACGTCAGGAGTATCACCCGCGCCGCCGCCAGGGCCGCTCGCCGCTCTTGGCAAGAGAGCTGGCCCGACGGCTGGTACCGCTCCATCTTCACGGACCACTCTGCCCGCGCCGGTCCGGTTTGACAGTCGAGAGGCCGCGGTGGACGTTCATCAACTTCGGGCCGGCCACTGGAGCATGTCAGCCCAGTACCTCCACCGTATCGGCCGCCGGCCGACCGCCGCCTGCCCTGGCTGTGCGGACGCCGGCTATCCGGCCGCCCGGTGCCTGGTGTGCGAGGAGGAGGCGGACACCCCGCAACACGTCCTGCTGCGCTGCCCGTGCCTCTGCGGGGCCCGCCTCCTCGCCATGGGCAACATCTACGGACGCCCCACCGACTTGAGACGGGACGACGTGGTGGCGGCCTTGGCCGCCGGCTTTCGGTCCTTCCAGAGCCGAACGACTACGCCCCGGTGACGGGGCCAGGGGAATACAACAACAACCGCTGGGTCCCAACCGACTTTTGCACGGCACCCTACTAAGCGGTCCACAGCCGTGTACCAAATTTGAGCGCAATTGGTTCAGCTGTTCTTGAGACCCGAAAACGACCCCTGCACGTGCGCACGTGCAGCAGCATCCCAACCGTGACACATGGGAATGCATTGCCTGGTGGGTGGGTGCCTAGCTACATGCCAAGTTTCAGCGTAATCGGTCCAGTAATTACCGAGATATTGTTATTGTTGCAAAACTGACACCTCTTCGTTTTGCACGTGACACGTGCATAAGGAGTGGGATCACCCACATGCATCGGTAATAGTTCAATGCTTGGCAAATAGAAGGAACGAAGCTACCCTTTAAAAATTACCGCAGGCCAATCGGCCCAGCGGTTGTTGAGATATAAGCCTCCCAAAAGCGTTACAGGCCGGAGCGCCACCGAGTCGCTCGTCCTGAGATTTTCCGTTATATTGAAAAGACTTCGCTTCGCTCGCTAGCTCGCTCGTAACAAGGTCGAACAACAAAAATCATTACATGCTGCGTTGCGTGGAACGAAAGCACGTACAGAAAACAAAGAGAGCTGCAAAACGCGAGGAGTACAACTTTGTGAAATCTTACCTTCAGCTCGTCGGAACGTTTGAACCTTTTGAAGCAGACTTCGCAGGAGAAGGGCTTCTCCCCGGAGTGGATGCGAGCGTGTTTATTCAAATCGCCAACTTGTACAAACCTGGAAACCAAGCCCGAGTCACAGATGAAGGAATTACAGAAAACCAAAATGCCGTTGTCTCGCATAACCGCATTAACCCTTCTATCCAAACATTGACTGGAGAGACTAAACAGCGAGGTTTCCGTAGCTTAGAAACCGACCTGACAGCTGTTCTTTGCTTACTTTCCATCTAGTTAGATCGAAATACATAAAAGAGCAGAACGAGCATCGCTTTCAAGCAAATTCATGTTACATGTAAATGTGCAAAAATATCAGAAGTATAATAATGAATCTGCGCACTAATGAGCACAGCAAACTGTCATACATTTATTCCGTACCAGATTCTTGATTCGTGGGCAGAAGAGCAGCCTCCGAATGATGTCATAATGAACTTCTTACCACAAAAAACGTGCGTTTGTATAAACAGGTAGCATGAACCAAGACTTCAGACGCCTGTGTGCGTGACCGGGTCCGCTACATTTGTGGATTTTTCATCTACATCTATGCACAATTAAATAACACATCCGCAATATTTTTTACAACCTCCTAGAGTGACTCACCGTTTTCCGCACACGGTACAGAGATGGGCCCGCTCGTTGGTGTGAAACTTGGCGTGGACGGCCAGCTGGTCGGCCGAGCGGAACAGCTTGCCGCACTCGAGACACTGGAACTTGCGCTCGGCGGTGTGAGAGCGCATGTGTTTCATAAGCTTCGCCCGGGTCGGATACACCTTGCTGCAGTACTCGCAGACGTTTGACTTGGAATCTCTGCCGAGGGACAGGTCAAAGCATGTTAAAATGACTTGCATTTCTCTGATACCGTGCTGTTAGAAAGGCATTTGAAGGTACCTATTCGACATTTGTTCATGCCCACTGTGATAACATGATTGGTAACAGCATTCGATTCGAAACAGCGACACACGTCCTCCTGACTGGAACCCTACCATTATATTCACGGAAACTTGTAATGCATGCATTCCATGAACACTAAACGCAGCGACATCTACTCATCTTTTGGTAAAAAGAATGTCCCTGGTGCGCCATCTGGGACAAACCGAGCACATTCGTAGAGCACCAGTCGTCAGTCGAAATGGTCGAAAGACAAAAAGGCAGCCTTTGAGGAGAGTCGACTGATGTAAATGTAAATCACGGGCAACTATGACAAGCAGTGTCACCTCAGTTGCGTCTTCACCATAAAAATATAACATCAAATACATAGGTGGCCTCGGTGACCATCGTTTGGCAATTGTCATTATTGTCATGAATCATTAGTGGAAGAATCCAACGCAAGTCTGCGTTTACAGGGCCAGATATCAAACATGACCATGCCGATTTAAAGTGCTGACTCACGGGTGCACCCTTCGGTGGATGGAGAGGCCGTACTCGGTGGAGAAGGTCCTGCCGCACACACCGCACGGGAAGGTGTCACCGTCACCGGCGGCCGGGGCAGTCGCCTCCTCCGCCGGCTCGCAGCCGCCAGCCGCTGGCTTAGTCTCCTCATCCTGTCAACAGGCCGTCCAGCCGGCAGTGGTTAGCTACTCCGCCAAACTACCGCGGCAAGGACACGACGGCAAAGTGCTTCAGTGTTCGCAGGCGAGGGGCACCGCATTCGGAGCTAATGTCATGTGGTTTTGGTTCCACGTCTGGCCCCGTCCCAATGGCAGACCTACGACCGACCAGTCACTCGCCGACCACCAGGCGGGCGGGCCGAGCCGGTGCGCTCACCTGGGATGAGGCGTCAGCCGACGGAGAGGGCTGTGGCACGCCATCCGACTCCTGCCGCGCCGGGTCCGCCGGGCGCCGGCAGCGCTGGAACCGCTGGCGCAGGTCGGCCTCGGCAGAGCGCACCTTCTGCTCAAACTCGTCCACGTAGATGACCAGCCCGAAACAGGCGCCGCACACCACCTGACCGGCCGGGTCGACCTGCTCCCGCAGGATCACCGACAGTCTGAAAACAACAGCAAACGGCTGTGAAAGGTGGCCAGAATGTAGCAAACTACCAATCTGTCAGTATTTTGAAGACAATGTTTATTAATTTAGGCAGTTACATGAACCTAATTTGTTTTGGTGGCTGATCTAGCATCCAAACTATGCGCTAAAGTGCTATCAGTTCGAAGGTTTCATTAGGTGAAAAACGGAAGGAAATAGCATGTCCCTCCTTACCAAAACACTCTTACCTTTTGTGCAGCGTCATATTCGTTTCCTCAGTGTAGGTGCTGTGTGCATGCCAGGCCTTGTCGCCATCAGATAGCTCAGTGCAGCAAACCAGGCATAGCGGGCCCCTGTGTGGCAGCACGGCAAGAGGCACCTCTTCCAGTGTCACCACCTGTGAGCCCAGCATCAGCGAGCCTGCGCTGCTGACGGCCGGCAGAGACTCCAGCGGACGCGGCTCCGCAGCGCGCCACTCCATAGTAGGTACCCCTGAGACACACAGCACCTGTGGTGACATAGCATCCGGTCAGATACATGTATCACACGCACACGTGTATTATTATTATTATTATTCTTGTACAGGGTGTCCCAGAAGTCTTGAAGCTTTTTTATTTTTGTCGTGTGACCTTGCTATGCCACCGATTAAGGCGAATCATGCCTCAAACGAAAGATAATGAACTGAAATTTTGTATTTTCATGCGTAGAGCACCACTTTAGTCAGTTGGCCCCCGTTGTGAGTCGCACAAGATTGAGCACGAGAGATCACGTTCTTCGCTGCCGCCAAGATCTCCCGGTTTGCGAAACACCGGTGTTGCCATGCCCGTTTCTTGTCAGCTTCAGAGTCTTATTCCCTAAAGCGAGCGACATAATATTATCCACATATATTTCCGACGGGTTGATATTTGTTTTAGCCCCATAATAATGCGACGAATCAAAGGATTACAACGAGCTGTTGCTTAGCGTGCTCAAGCAGCTGAGCCTTATTTCCGTAATGGATGCGTGCAAACATGTCAGGAGACTTTCTGATCAGTAAATCATTATGTTGCTAATAGTAATTCGTATTCGTTTCGGGCTACACTGAGGTAAAAAATTGTTAAAAACCAAATATTTCGGCTTTATTGAGTAGCCTTGTTCACTGGTCAGAGTGACGTCATATTTCAAACTAGTGGACAAGGCTACTCAATAAAGCCGAAATATTTGGTTTTTAACAATTTTTTACCTCAGTGTAGCCCGAAACGAATACGAATTACTATCATTTACCTGAGGAAGATTAGAAATGACACTTCGTCAATATGTTGCTAATGTTTTCTCGGAGATCCAATACTCTGTTTCCTGGCGGCTGGCTCGCTTCATGAAATAAGGGTCTGCAAAGCTGACCAGAAACGGGCTTGGCGACACCGGTGTTTCGCAAACCGGGAGATATTGGCGGCAGCGAAGAACGTGATCTCTCGTGCTCAATCTTGTGCGACTCACAACGGGGGCCACCTGACTAAAGTGGTGCTCTACGCATGAAAATACAAAATTTCAGTTCATTCTCTTTCGTTTGAGGCGTCATTTGCCTTAATCGGTGGCATAGCAAGGTCACACGACAAAAATAAAAAAGCTACAAGACTTCTGGGACACCCTGTATTATGACCTCCATACAACAATGGCTCTTCCGGTCACACAGTAATAAAATCACACAGTAAGTTCTAAAGTGACAAGCACACATAACATCGCATCTTCATGGCGGCAAAGTTCATGACGAGCACAATAAACACAAAGTAATCCTAGACCACTTTTTCTCAGTAACTACTGACAGTACGGTGACTAGTTTTCAGAGTCGTGCATTAGGTTTCCAGCGATGAGCAGTTTGGGTGGTGTTCTACAAAACACCACTAATATTTCATTGGTGCTCCAGCTTGCAAGTCCTTGGTCATACCTTCCTGGTCCGTGCCCACCACTGGTCCGACCTCCCCACCACCTGTCCCTTGTCCAGGCTGTAAGGCCTGAAAAAGGCACCTGGATGGAGAGCTAGCTAAGCCCAGCTTTCCTTGTGAACGAAGGTAGTAGGACATATGTGGATTGTAGGTAGGTGGATTAAGTAAATGGCTCACTGTATCAGTGAATTATCAGGTGTGGTATAGCTAAGCATAGCAAAATTCAATCTTCTATTAACAAGCGCTTTAACACCATTTAATAACTGAAAAATAATAATATACATAAAAGTTAGTTAAGCTCTTACTTTCTAGGTAAGCTTGAAGACTGAAGAGACACCATGCAGCAATGCTTACAATATTCTATATACCTACACAATATCTATTCAGGACCAACTTAGCCTGGGCCCTGTCCCATTATACTCAGCTGGTATAGCATTGGAGTTTGGATTCCAGGTAGTGAGAGCCTGGGTTCGAGTTGCTCTGGCACTCGTTTTTTGAGACTCCTGACGGGGATGGTCTGCAGTTGGTGGGAGCAGTCCTAGCCAGTTGAAGTCTGTTGAGTGGGACAGGCCATGTCCAGCTTTTATGGCATGTTAAACTTAGGCATCTAAATTATCCTGTTGCTCGGAATTGAGCAATCGGACGGTAGGGGACAGACTCTACGCAACAAGCTCTGCTTACTTCTATGAAAAATAGTTTGTAATAAAAATATATAAATAAAAATATTTTGACGGTCCTTCAGACTGTCAAAGACCCCTTCAGCCCATGAGAGCCTCGTAAGCCGTCTGAGGGTCATGTAAGCCGTCTAAGGGCCACTCAGACCGACAAAAGGGCCCCTTGAACTTGCAGAGGGCCCTCTCAGACAAACTAACGGCCAGTTCATGTCATTTGAGGTCCTCCTCAAACCGATAGGGCCCCTCAGATCGACATTGGATCCGATCTGAGATCTCTCAAACCGACATAGGGTCAGACCAACAGTCGGAAGCCAACAGATCACCAGAGGGCCCTTCAGGTGAACAAAGGGCTCTCTCAGGTAAATTGAGGGACCCATAGACCGGCAGGGGCCCCTCAGAACAGCAGAGGGCCTCTCCAGGTCGGGAGAAGGCCCCTGAGACTGACAGAGGCCCCTCATGTCGATAGAGGACCTCCTAGGGTGGAAAAAAACATCCAGTTGATAGAGGCCCCGCCCCTTGGACGAACAACGGGCCCCTCAGGCCGATTGGGAGCCCCTCAGACTGACAGATGGCCCTCTTAGTCCAAAAAAGCCCCTCATGTAAATAGCGGTTCCTTTAGACTAACAGAGGGTTCTTCAGATGTTCTACAATAAAATATGCATATCACTTACACCTTGTTTTTGTGCACAGTGCACACACCGTTGGGCGTTGGACTCATCCCATCCACCTAAACCTTGACCCCCTGGTTTTAAAAGGGCCCCCAAAGCTCTAAAATTGGGGCTCCCTTGGCCAAATTATGGCTACGCAGCTGCATCAAAGGATCTGTCACAGGGCCTTTGTCTTGCCGAGGGCACACTGTGTCAGCCAGGGCCCCTGACCTGGTGTGATGGGGTCCCTTTTGGGCTCCAAGGGGGGCATGGCCCCTATGGTGCCTCCCTTGACTACACCCCTGCCAGTAGGCAGTGGGTACCTAATCTCAGGTTGGGTCACTGACTCACCTGGTTACAAAACTATTGCAACATATTCAGGGTAGGTAGGCTTAGAACTTGAAAGGAGTTGCTAGCATTGGGATAACTTTATTACTTACCTGCTTGCTTACTTCCTTTGCTATTACTTGCAACATTTTATGCTTTGCAAGAAGCATAAAATGAATAAAAAACAGTACTTGGCACACCTGACACCAGTAAAAGTAAAAATCATAACAGTACCTTCTTAAAAGCCAGAATCAAATATCTTTAACTTAAGGGCAATGTTTCACTGAATGCTGCTACCATGCTGATATTGCAATTTGCAGCCTGACATCACAGTTCACACTGCTGGTAGTGTTGGAGCAATGGGTAGTGATGTCACTATTAGTAAGCCTTGCGTCCCACTTCCCAGAAATATGCCAGGTTGGGACAACGGAGATATATAAATAGACCAAAACAAACCTAACCTGACCTGACCTAACAGCTAACCTTACCTACAACAGTATCTTGCAGCTTCCTGGGACGCCAGACTTACTTATACTTTAGTTTAGTTTATTCCATCAATCATCCACAGGCACACACCCAATGATGGATGAAGCCATGATATAAAACAATAAATACATTACATACAGCACCAACACCTTTGACCTTAACACATAGGACAGGGGCTGTGATACTGTGATGTCTCCATGGAAACCCAATTTGACATGTGTGATAGCAGCGTGCTGCTATCATCAGTGACACCACCATGGCCCTGTTTCACAGATGATAGCAGCACGCTGCTATTCCATTCCGCGAACTGATGTCACACTTCTGGTAGGTAGGTATAGTCGGTCAAATATGTATCTTTCCCGGCCGGCCCTCCCCACGCTGGGCAGGTCGGTAACTTGGCTGAATCCGCCGGCCGCTGCGAGTACTACGGAGGGGAGGGGACAGGTTGTGCGGTTGCCGCGTCGGCCAATGAGCGCGGACCTGGCGAGCGGGCTGGGGCCACGGCGTGTTGACCTAATATGGTCAAAGGTTCATGCCCTGCGGGTATGGTCTGCGGCCAGCTGGCCCACTGATTGAGCCACAGCACCGGGTCGCGGAAAGGTTTCGATAGGTATCTGAATTGGAGAGTGGAGACCGTTAGCTTGAACTTGAGTGTAGTCGCTCTAGGTTTGAGATGCCGTATCACTGCACCGTTTTTGAAAAGGGGAGAATTATTCAGTTGAGTGATGAGGGTAGAACGGTTGCAGAAATCTTTAGGAGGGTTGGTTTAGGAGGTTGTTTTAGGAGGGGGCGGTTTTACGCCCCCCCCCCGTCTAACTCGACTCCTGAGCGTCGTAGAGACAAGCGGCAGGCGGCGTTCGAAAGAGCGATAAAAAACGTTTTTACTTCTGATACTTTTTCTTAAATAGCTTTTGATCCAGACAAGATAAAGGATCGATTCGAACGTCATCGTTCTTAGCTTGTCAAAGCGCATCGAAAGCTATATCATGTGACCTCGAAAGGTCAAGTTGAAAATTTGACCTAAGGTCAAGGTCATGACCTGACTGAAATAGGTCATGTTGCATATCATTCGATCTGCATTGATCAGACAAACATGATAAACGTCGAACGGAGTCTCTATTTCTATTCACTCAAAAGTTATTGCAGAAAACCCCCGCTGGTGACCTCAGGTGACCTCGGATGACCTAGCGACACCTTCCAAAGGTCACCGGTGACATCTTTCGGTAGAATGACCACCAGGGACCTGCAACACCATGATCCTGAATATATTGTGTGGATCGGGTGGCATTCAGATGAAGTTGAAATTTATCCCATTGACTTATAATGGGGAGGTTGTGAGATTGACCTGACCTCAGGTCATAGATAAAAAAAAATCCGAGACATACATTTTGTGGATATTGTCACCCTTACTAACTCCTGAAAGTTTCATATCGATCGGTCAACAGTTGTAGCTTTGGTGCAAGTTCAAACTTTTTGTGACGTTAGGTCACTCAAACCGACCTGTTGACCTGACCTTAACCCGCGCACCGACGGGGGTCTGCGCCAACTTAGTACCGACGGGGGGGGCGGATGACCGCCCCCCCCCTGAGATCTCGAGAACGAAGCAAGATAGCGACAAGCGGTAAACGGCATCGGATACGCACGGACAAGGTCTACAATTTTTACTAAGGTCATTTTCAGGTCAGGTCAAAGATGACGTCACAGGGGTCGAAAAAGTCAAAATGGCGGCGCTAGATATGGAGAGGGTTTTTCTCGAATAACTTTCGAAGTAGTCAAGATAGGAACAAACTAAGGGCATCATCGTGATCCTCTCGTCAATCCGCATCGAATGATCCATCCGCGCGGCTGTATCTTGTTCCTGTAAGGAGTTATTGGCAAAAAACCTTTGGTGACCTTTGATGACGTCACATGACCTTACAGCTGCCCAACAGCAAAACAGACCTCAAGGTAGTGAAGGTTGATCGTATGTGAAGTCATGTATGGTATATGGGGCCATTCCGACCCGTTTTAGTGGTAAAAACAGGGAGTTGATTTTTCCCCCATTGACTTATAATGGGGAGGTCGCGAAATTGACCTGACCTTAGGTCACCGACATCAAAATTCCGAGATATACAAATTGTAGCTACTAATGACCTAATAACATCCTGCGACTTTCAAAGGCCTCCGACATCTACTGTAGCTCTGGCACGGTGACAAAGTTGCAAAAAAGTGACTTGAGGTTGGGTCATTCAAAGTGACCTGGTGACCTGACCTTAAAAGTAAGGAGGTTCAAACTTGCACACCATGTGTAAAATTGATGAGAGAATAGTCATACCAAATTTCGCGGCGCTTCCCGCTATCCGCGAAAAACCTCAGGGGGGGCGGATATCCGCCCCCCCCGTCGGTGTGCGGGTTAAGTCATATAAGGTCAAAATTCGCACACAGTATGCGCAATAGATGGAAAAACAGGTATGCAAAATTTGGTGGCGCTGCACGCCGCCGTTTTTCGGCTATCTGCGAAAAACCTGGGGGGGGGGGCGCAAATCGCCCCCCCCCCGGCCCGGCGCAGGTTAAGATTTTCAGTAGATATGGCTTAACGCTTTCCCGTTAATGCCAAAAAAAAGGAAAAAAGTTTTTGCTTTATCAAAAAATAACCGGTCATAATTCGATTAAATATTTCTCTTGCGCTAATCATCATATCACCAAGCATTCAATCGTATCAAGAGCAACCATCTTAATTTTTAGGTCAGCGACCCCTGTTGAAACACCAGATAATCCTTTGATAGCTCATAGCACTCAGTCTACAATTTACACGGCGCATGAAAGCACAGCCATCATTAGACCATCGCGCTGCCCTCACATTCGTTAGATTCCTAACGCATCCGCTTGCTCGCCTCTCCCGGCCAGACCCGCCGGAGCACCCGGCGGCGAGGCCGTCCAGTGCTGGTCTGCGGTCACTCTCCAGCCGGCCGCTGTGTAGCTCCGCCCCCCGCGCGTGACGTCACAGGGCCGCCAGAGCCACCAGGGCAGCTGGGGTGTGGGCTCAGCCAACTATCGAATCCAGACCGTAGCGCCACTTGGCGGCCGGGAAAGATACATATTTGACCGACTATACCTAGTATTGGAGGAATAGGCTTGTCGACATCTCCATGGAAACCCAATTTGAAACATGTTATCATAATCCCAGTGTGCTGCTATCATTGTGCTGCTATCATTGGTGACACCACCATAACGTCCGCTCAAGAAAGTTGAGATAACTCACCCCCAAAATAACATAATATAAGGACCACTCAACGTGCTTGAAAATTTCCAAAAAATGCCTCAACCACCTACTTGCTCTATGCAAATTGCAATTCAATGCAATACCTGCGCTGGGATGGGATGTATCAGTATATCATATCAATATTATGGGCATGGCATTACAGGATTCTATATCAAAGTATTGCAAAAACGTCCTCGCCGTTTCACAGCCCACCCTATATATACCGCTATATATTTGCTATATACATGGCCTTGTACCCACCAGAATCGGCTCGGCGCTTTCGACGCTTTGCGTTGTGACTGTGAGCCAAGCTGTGAGCTGAGCGTTGAGAGTTGGTTGTGAGCGTCCAAGCTTATTGATGTTTCCATAGAAACCCAATTCACCGCTTCAGTGAAGCACGCTGAAGAGGAGTGGCGTGAAGCTGGCGTGAAACGAGCTCCACGGTAATGGGCTCCTGAGAATTGCCCTATAGATATCAGGGTATATAGATTATGGAACAACAAGGCTATAGATGCAAGGCTATAGATGGCCTTTTGGATTCTTGGAATCGCCTGAGGAGAATTGAGAAATCGCGGTAGCCAGCCCCGAGAGTGAAGTTGCAACGCATGCGCATAATGACTCAACCCTGTACTGGCGTAAATGACTGACACTGCTCACGGACTCAATCAGCAAATCAGCGTCCCGACTTTCATCAAAAGGTGTCGCTAGCGACAGGTAAATCCGACCCCCACCGGACACGATTTGGTAGCCGAGGTCTGTGACGTCAGCCGGGCGTGAAGTTTTCCCTTCACCATAGGCTTCACACACAAACTGGCCGAAGTTCATGCCAGGATAGCCCGGCTTGAAAGTGCAAAAATGATTAAATTTTGCCCTCAATAGATTCATTGCTTCATTTTATAACTAAAAACGTCCGTTATTAGGCCTCAATGAAGGTAAAAAGTACTCAAAATCGAAGTTCAAGAAGATGCTGTCCGAGCACAATCTGGTAACATCACGTGACCTCTTTTAAGCAGAATGTATATAATTCAAGGATGTTATTACACGATTGCTGCCTAAAACATCATAAATAATACGCTTGTAACATTTATTGCTTCTGTTTAAGTCATAACATTGCAAAACGCAAAGTTTATCATGGCAGTCACGTGACCAAAGGTATAGCAGGGGTTGGGACAAGCACTCAAAGGATTTCAAGTTTTTTAATTAAATTATATAAGTTTCATGATGAAATTGAAAGAATGTATTTTTTTCCTAATGAAATACAAATTTTCGTATGTAAAATATTTTCCTTTTGGGCGAAATTCTCCATATAAGAAATGTCAGTGACGTCACCAGGGCTTTACTCAAAACATCCGACCAACATCCGACCTACCTGTTTCTTATAGGTATCTTGGGTAAATCCTGCTTGCGAACACATTTAAAGAATGGAGCAGCTGCGCTGTTTCTGCCTGCTATCCTTCCATCTTAGTATCAACTTGGTATCAACTATGCCCTTTTTAGCTAACTTTAGACTGAATGAATGAATGAATGAATGTATTTGTCCACGACCCCATTTGGGGTAAGGGAACTGGGCTGCATGTTGCGGTTATGTACACACGAAACGACAATATAAACACACAAGCGGGAGGATCGCTCTCATAACAGCGACTCCCAAGTCCTAACGCACTCATCTAACACATATAGGTAGGTACAACCTGAGAACGATTCCCATCGGGGGCTCAGCACATCGGAGAAACACCGCATTTGTACGCCAAATTGGTGATTACTAACAACTTGCACCATCGGGGGACAGCTGTCTCCAATAATTACGTCAGTGTACATATCAGGTACTTATCATACATATCAGAGAACATTACATACTAACATACATATCAGTGTACAAAGCAGTTAACAAGAACACAACTTTTGGGGTATATAATAGGTTACAGGGGACTAGTCAACGTCAGGCTTGAATCGGTGGGGAGAGAAGTTAGATGCTAGGAGTGGACCGGGGACCGGCAGGGGACCGGCAGGAGAATCGGAGAATGAAATATGAATGACTACGAAAAAGCAGTGGTGATGTGCTGGATAAGCCTTGACAACCGATGTAATAGTCTTTTTTCAACAGATGAGAACAGAGCCTTGAATTTATTTGTGTCAGGATGCCTGTAATAGTATTGTGGGATGAGGGCTTCGCGCTGACTTCTAAAAGCTGAACATTCCAAAATGTAGTGGAATTCGTCACCAGGTTTGTTTCCTGTGCATAGTTGGCATGTATTAAGAGTAGCGTCATGTTTCTGTCTGCTCTCAGTGATCGGTAATTTGTGATTCCCACAGCGAAATCTAGCCATGACGAGACGGTCCTTTGGCCCTACAAGGGTCAAGTAAGGCTCGAGACCGTGGGTGTCTTTAAAAATTCTATAATTTGTGCACAATGAGTTGGTATGAACAGACTCCGACCACGTTTGTTTGGCTATATCAGTAAGGCGAGTTTCCAGTACTGCCAGTATCTCGTCTTTGTCCGGAGCATCAGCCCAGTAGTTTCCAAGCCCTGCACTGTCAAGGATACTTTTTACATTCGAGAGCCAATGAGGCCGGAATTCGGAATTCTGAAGTTTGTATAGCTGGAGCTGCATTATGATGAATGAGAGCTTGTGTTTGCTACCATTTCTCAGCCGCATCCAGAAGCCTATGACTCGCCTCTGGATGACAATGCTTAGAGGCATTCTACCCAATTCACCATATGCCATGCAGTTAGCAGAAAACTTGCTAATTTTCAACAGGTGCTTCATAAACTTTTTATGAAAGTTTTCTATATATTGCCCATATTTTGAGCCCCATATTAAGTTTTAAACTAAAGGTTATTTCTGGTGCATGTAATTTAAAAATAACTGCTTTGTGAATTTGGCCTTACTCGTCAGAATAAAAAGGCATTATATTTTTCCATATAAAAAATGTATCACCTACCCTGTAACTTATCCAGGTAAAATGCCAAATGGGCATTTTCCGGGTCGTTGGCGTACCCAAGATGGCGTACCCAAGATTCAACAGTTTCCCATCCATGAACCCATAAAGTACCCAAGGCCGAAAGTACCCATTTCCCATCCAAACGCGTAACAGTGCTGTTACTTTAGTCCATGAGCTTGCAACTTTAAGCAAAAATATTGACTAAAAGCCATTTCTTCATTACCTACAAATATTTGAGCGCGTTTGAGGCAAGCGAACGCAACACGTTGAAGCTTTCGTCTTTGTGGGCGTTTGATTAATCGATTTATCCGCAACATTCAGAAATCAGAGGTTTTCTCAGCTTACATTCAAAACATTGTCTCATTCATATACAAATGTGCATAACATACGGGCGGCCTAAAATGCCGCAAGCTTTACCACCTGCATTATGAGCATCCTCGACGACTTCAGACGCATCAAGGCTTTACTTACGCCTTTCAATGAGCCACAGCGAATAACTGTTGTGTTCCTTGACCACGTTTTGTGACAATTCAACAGCAGAACTCGTACACATTGGTGTATATTGATATCTAACAGAGTCAGAAGTTCATGAGCACCCGAATTTCTGTCCGTATCCCCGAAAGTGACGAACACCACTCTAGAACGCGAACAACAGCAGGAACGCCATCATCAAACAGAACAGACCCATGGCCTCAGACAGGGCGAATCCGAGGATGGCATATGAGAAAAGCTGCTGCTTCAGGGACGGGTTGCGCGCGTAGCCGATGATGAGGGAGCCGAACACGGAGCCGATTCCGGCTCCGGAGCCGGCCGAGCCGACGGTGGCCGCGCCGGCGCCGATGAACTTGGCGGCAGAGTCGATGTCGCGCGAGACTGCCGAGGTCTGGATGGACCGGTATGGCACCACCGCCTGGCTGGCGGCCGGCGCCGCCGCTGCCGCCGGACTGCTGACCGGCGCCCACGCCGCCGCGGTCACCGGCCGCACCTGAGGGCACAGACGGTGGCACGGACCGTCAGCGTTGCACCGCTCGCCACCATCACACTTTTTAGACTTAACAAGTGACTTAGCATGCATTTTATATCGATTTTCCTAAATCGCAGCATGCTCTATGAATCAGCTGCAACCGTACCACACATTTGGAAAACACCGACATCAGTACCTAATCACTAATCGGTATACTGCGAGTAAGCATTATTCTAAACTTTTTTTAAAAAGCAAATCTAACAAAGCCAAGATGAGACAGGTCTAATATGCGTATCTAAATACAAAATGCATAAAACAGGCACATACCGTTACCCGGGCAGCAGGCATGACAATTCTTGAGCAGGCATACATGGTGGCTGTGTAAAGGCGAAGATGGTCCACAAGAAGACCTGAAACATAATAAGACATAGACATAGTGAGAAACTTGCTTCATACAAAATTGAACACTTTCGATGCTCATCTTTGGATGGTTTTACGCCAGAACACATGTGTATGGTGCGGACGATCATATGCCAGTAATACGACCTTTGGGACGAGTGACGACAAACGAGCCAGCGAACAGTGAAATCTGTAGGGCGCACGTGGAAACTGAGCCCCGAACTGACTTGTGCCGGCCACTCTTCTATAGGTCCTCTAACCGATGAACCATACTTATTCAACCCGCGTTACGCCGGTGCTCGGCGCTCAACTTTTGACTCAAAACTAGCATATTGATTTTATCGGCATCGTGCACTACCGTCGACAAAAGTCAACCAATTAAAATTTGGCCTTCAAAATAAAGCTTAAATTTTGAACCAAGGTCAAGGTAACAGGGGCGTAGCCAGGATTTCCTCCAGGAGGGGGTCAAACTTACAGGGGCCCAAGGTAAACCCCCGCAAAATCCAAAGTCATCGGATTTCATCCACTATTTTTTGGAAGGGACCCAAATAATGTGCCCCTTACCGTACTTATGACACCGCGATGGGGGCCCTTTTGGGCTCCGGGGGGGGGGCATGGCCCCTATGGCCCCCCCCCCTTTGGCTACGCCCCTGCAAGGTAACGGTCTGACCGGGGAAATCTCAGTCGATCTGTATCGTTGAGCTAAAAACATCCAAGGACACAGAAAGTGGAGCAATGTTTCCAGGCCTCAAGGGACTGATGTTCACTGTCCAGTGGCCTATCCCTGCAACTGTTTCAGCAGGACCTGCCGACGGTCGTCAAGTCCGGCGCCTCGGAACACGGAGCTGGTGCCCTTTTCTCCCAGGTCCAGCTCGATGGATCAGAACACCCCGTGGCCCGTCTCCTGGTCTCACAGGCTCAGTGAATCACTGCTATCGACAAGGAGCACCATTTACACGACTCACACCGACTAGCCGCTGTGAGTCGGTGAGCAGAGTCTCGGCTTCACTGACAAGTAGCACCAGTATAATAGTAGCTTTTTCAGAGCGCAAGGCCCTCAGCGCGGTTCACGCGGTGGAGCGCTTGAAGTGTATCTCTGGCGGAAGCACTTCACGCTGCGGACTGATCCCTAAGCGCTCACTACGCTGGCCGTCATAGATTCTCCGGCAGAGCTGGAGCCAGTCTCCTGCCGGCAAACACGACTCCTCCCGTCAGGGTCATACGCCTATGAAGCATTACACACACCGGGGAACCACATCTCCACGGTGTCACGTCTCACCCTACTAGTGATCGAACCAGCGGAAATGTGACGAAGTTGTTCCGGTGATTGAAGAGCCTGCGGGATTGTCCCAATACGTCGATGCTTCTCTTCTGGACTACACAGCAGCAGTTGCGGACAGTGATCGCCAGCGGCTGGCCGGACTCAGTCGTTCTCCGCGGACCGGACAGCGGTACTGGTAGTATCCGCCGCACTGACCGACCAGTGCTTTCGCACGACAGCATTGTTGGTACGAAGTTGCTCCGGAGCCTGTGCTGACGGCCAGGTGTCGACCGCGTCACGATTGATCTCGCCAAGTCGTGTGGTTTGTGCCAGCCGAGCAAGATATTGCTATGGCAGAACATTCGTCCTGCCTGTCTGCCACCAGTTCTGCTTCCAACCATTCTGTGGTCCAAGCTTGGAATCGACATCGTCGCGTCAGACCGATCACCGGCTTTCCACAGTTCGCCCGGCAGTCACGTTGACTATCACGGCAAGTGAGTGAAGCTCGCTCCAACAGCGAGATGAAAGAGGGGTCGTGGTGACGTCAGGAAAATCCGTTGAGAGTTCGAGGACTACCTCCAAGAGCGGAAAATCCATCACCTGCAAGTACCGGTCTACTGAACGATGGGAAACGCACCTGTTGAGCGTTTCATCCGTTCGCTCAAGTCCTGGATGCTGGTAGATGACCAGCAAAGGGAGGTCTTGTTCCAGACCTATTTCATTGGAAAGCTGGCGCGGTACCGTGTCACATTCCACTGCAGCACCATGGCGTATCGCCTTCCGAGCTGATACGCGGACGGAAAATGAAGCTGGACCTGCCGTGACCGCACGATCGCAAATCTGTAGGAGTGAGGTTGCCAAGTACGCAGTAACGACGGAACCGTCCATATGCTAATACAGCGAACGACGCCGATGACTGAATTCCGTCACCTCGTATCTCCGTGGCAGATAAAATCCCTGCCCTCCTGCCTGGACAAGTCACGTTTAGGCTGGAGCTCCGTACCACGAATGCGGGTGGAGCGTTGCTCACTTGGCGAAGAAGGAGACTAGGGCCACGTCGCCGACGGTGCTCGAGTCGTCGCGGCGGCTACCATTTGGGGTAAGCCGACGGCTCGCTCGGGATTAGTGACAGAGTCGCCGCCGCTCACGTTGCCGGTGGGCGGTAGGTGAGATGGCTGCTAGCATCTGCGCCATCGGCATGCTATTCCACGCTCACGCCACCGTCTCCGTCGCTGCGTACTGTGCTCTCAACACGCACGCAGGTGTCATCGGAGGATGCGCGGCGCGCAGGGGAGCTGCTGCCATCCCCAGGCGCCAGCGTTTCAGGCCTGTGCGACTTGATTAAGGCGTTTTTTCAGAATATTACTGCTCAGTGCAAACTAAACTTGCCTCCACATTCTACTCAAACTGTGGGGATGTAGTCATAGTGTACTTAGAAAAAAAAAACATTTTTTTGTAGGAAAGCCACTGAAGCTTTCCATCACTTCTGCAACCAAAAGGTGACCATCGCCATTTTTGTGTGCCATAAAGCGTGCATTCAGTGGCAATAGAGCAGTGTAGTGATCAGCAAACTGAGCTTGGTCAATAAATACACACTAGATATGCACTTCAATGCATTACAGTGTTTTTTTTTATTAATTTTCCAATGGATTAAAGGGACCCTCCCACCTTAACATTAGTTTTGAGTTGAGATAGCCAAATTGGTGGCCATGGCCTGAAAATACCGGTTTGGGCATTCACAACATCGAAAAATGCTTTAATTCGGAGATATGGAATTTCAAACTTGCAGTTTTCGGATTCTAAGGGGCTAATGCATTGGTATGCCCCCTTAGAATTTGTGACGTCAGCGGAGATCTAACGATTTTTAAATCTTCTACTAAAACGTTTGGCAGCACGCGGTGGTATATGCTGCTTTGCGCGCAACAAATGCCGCACTTTCAAATAAAGTCGCTAGGAACAGCGGAGATCCCAAAAAGTAAACAAAAGTAAAAGTCTAATATCTTGAAAACCGGTGAATATTTTTCGATGAACTTTGGTAGATATTCATTTTTGGTCTTTCTGAACCGAGCGACATCACTTTCATGCCAATTCATTAACTTTTTTGAAGGTGGGAGGGTCCCTTTAAACTCAGTCATAACTAATAACTCAAAATACTCTCATTTACCTATGCTGGCCAAAGGGTCATAGTTCAGAGCAAAATGGATAGCAGACTAAGAGTCAGTGTCTATAAATGCATTGCACATGACCTGTCATGCATCAAGGTCATCCAGCCATTTGAGGTCAAAGAGTCTTTACCTTGACCTTTACACTGACAATCGGCAATGATCAGTTCACACATCTTGGCATACAAATGTGTTGTATATTGTGTTCTGAAACCATGCATTTCCTTAAACGTTATGTTATTTGCAAACAATCAATGATCAAACCAGATATTTGGATCACGGCATGATATTTGAGGTAGCTGATAGACTTGGACTTAAAAATCTGATAGAAGTGACTTCTTTCCAAAAACCAAAAAAAAACTTTCTGTTCCAGTGCTGTTCCAGCCCAATGAAGAGCTATACTGACAAGTTGTGTAAGCAACATCATGAAATGCTAGGTAAATGTTCAGATTAAGAAAGTCTGATTTATTTGTAAAGCATAAGTTTTGCATACCTATTTTAACATTATTGGACATCTTGAGACTTGAATCCAAATATGATACATATATGTGGCACAAATATAAGAAAAACATACTCAAACTTGACCTAACCTTACCTACAACCCACAAACCTACAACCTAAAACCTGCAAACCTAAAACCTGACACAACCTTCAACCTACAAGTTCCGTTGTTGTATATTTGTATCAATGGTGCCACAATTGTAGATCAGACCTTTTCTGAAAAAAATGTCAAATACCAAATGTTAACTGAATTATACCTAATGACCAGGACAGGCAAAGGTTAAACCGTTAAATTGTAGAAATTGCATTAAATCGAAAGCAGATCCAGAGTCTTCTGAAAGATACATTTGTGTTGCATACTTAAACATTTAGTGCTTGCTTATTACCCACCCTATCTCAATCTCAATATCAATAGACGCTTTTACGTAGGGTTTGTTGCAAGCTTATATCTTCGTCCGTGATGTTGCAAAAGATGCCAATGGTGCTTAATAATTTACAAAATGATCCCCTCTAAATATTTGAAGACCACTGCAACGAAATTATCGCCAAATTAACGAGCTAGAGCCTCGTCAAATATGCTATGTAAACCGGGTAATCACATGCACCAGTGCTATTGCTCTCGAACTGTTGCCACGCTACAGATTAACCAGTTAGTAGCTATGAATATGAAGGTAAGCATAAAAAGTAAGCGCATAAAAAAATAAGTAGCGAATAGCGACACAAACACGCCCACCTATCCCATTCCCCCCAGTCCGCACCGGCTCCGATCCAATCCAAGATCCAATCAAAACAAGCGAGCGGCGAGAAGCCGGCGAGCAGGCAGGCGGGAAGAGCAGCGGGAGGAAAAGAGGCGGACATGAGCCCTACGAATTTTTGTTTTACTTGTTTCCGTTTTGTTTTGAAGTAGCAGGCTATAGCCAATTGTTGTTGCGTGAACAGTGATAACCAATTATATGATTTACTACACAGAACTGTCGGAATTATTGTGAATTATCCCCATTGAAACACGTGAAAACGTATTAATCACCTTTTCCTCCGCTGGTAACAAGCTATAGAACTCCGCTGGTAATAAGCGGGAGCAAGGCCGTATGGTATATAGGGCCTTGGGCCGTATATAAGCGGGAGGGAAGCGGGTATCAAATAAAAACATGGTGTATTAGGCAGCAGGGTCTAGTCGGTATATGGTATATACCAGAGTATATAGGTATATACCGCCTTGGCCTCGTCTAACCAGGGTTACTTTTAAAGGGGGGGAAGAGGGGAATTTCCCCCCTTCGAAAATTCCGCTCCCCCTTTCAAATCGTGTCTGAACGGCTAGGTAGGGAAGGGGGAATTTCCCCCTTTCAAATTTATTTTTGAGCCCATTTTCAATCAATTTGCTATTCAGATTATATAGTCATCGTCAATCAGATTCTCGTCATCAATCAACGTTGCTGGCGCTTAGATGATTGTTAATTTTCAATTTTCGGTTCCATCCAACCATTTTACGTTTAGTGTAACGGGAAGTCCAGATTTGATCCGAAACTGATCGGATGGTCGGTGGTACCATCTCTTGTCTTGTCTCTTCGCACTCACTGACATATCGGTACAGGCGTCGGCGTAGAAACCGGCGGGGGACGGGATGACCTCTCCGAACCAAGGCCCTAAAACATAGCTCCGAACCAAAGGCGGATACAAGGGGGGAGGGGAAGGGCAACGGGGCCATGGCCCCTCCTTTGACGCAAAAAGAAGGTGACCTCCTTTTGGACCCCCGTTTATTTCTGTGTTCTTTCTCAGAAACGACCCATTTGTTCACGATTATTTTCACTTTTACATCGACGCCAAGGCCAGACATCTAAAATTGTTGTCCCAATATGACATTGGCCGTGTTTAACCATCCTCCAAACTGGAATCGTTGAAGGAAAACAACGTTATTTTTGTCCCATAGGCATCAAAGCATAATAAATACCTAAATGTTTTCTCTTTATGCAGCATTCACGTTCATCTGCTTTGCATGCAGAGCAGGGCGCAAAAAATGTACCTCATCACGGCCGGCTTTCCCAATGGAATTTTCACTGCTCACTAATACTAATAGTAATAATTCAAGTTTTGTGCTTCATTAGTTTTTGTTCGGATATCACTGCCCACTAGGGTGTCCCAAATTTCACGAAGTTTTCCAATTCACTTAGGATACACCGGGATCCCGTTCCTTGGTTCATTTGAACCTCACACACCAATTTATAGAGTAAACTACCGGTAAACAAGGTTGCCGCTAGTGCTCTGAAGTTTTATTTGCATTTTGGTGTTATATGATAGTGCAGCGTTGTAGTCTCCGAATGCGAAATGGGAAATATGTGTAAGCAACGTAGCAATATTACCTTCTTCGATGCTCAGTGATGCTCAGATCCCACGCACATTGCACAATGATGAAAATCCGGGTTTATGTACGCATATATACGTGTGAAACTGTGTGTGTGCGTGCCCGTATGCCTCTGTGCGTGTGTGTATGTGTGTGTGCGTGTGCGCGAGCGTGACTGCGTGGGTGCCTACCGGATAGAAGGCAATGCCAGTTTTAATCTTGGTGTCGGTGATTTCATGTGCCGCTGATTTCGTTTAGGAGTAAGCGATCAAATAAAGGTCTCAGGTTAGTGCTTCAAATGTCTCGCTTCAGCTCGAACAGTCTGCGGCAATGGCACACCACATAAACGCAGATTGAACAGAATCAAATTTACATTGCAGCTATGGGTATTAAGTTCACCGTACACTGTCCTGAGACCGTCCACGCGTACAACAATATCGTGCCCGGCTATGAGATCCGTCTAAAATATCGTACCCTGCTCTGAGATTCGTCTAAAACATCGTATCCTATTCTTAGATCCGTCTTAAACATCGTACACTGCTCTGAGGTCCGTCTAAAACATCCTACACTGTTCTAAGGCCCAGCTACACTCTACAGTCTATAAATAACGTCATCGCACCTTGCTATAATATCTGTCTACCACTACAGACCCACGTGGTCCTTCTTCGTGTGACCGTAAAGCGACCTGTGCCATGCCACCACCTGGGTCAGCGCCTGCAGCTGGTCCTCATCTTCCGTTCTGTCCATCAACTCCTGTGCCAGCTTCACTCCGCGATCCGCTCCATCATTCACAACTGCCAGGCTGTTGACGTATTTGTGAACTGCGCTGTAACCTGAGATACTTTTGCATTTTTTGACAGGCTCTTGCAACCATTCGAGGGCGCACTAATCCAGAATCTGGATGAGTGCGCCCTCGAATGGTTGCACCGGGCACCCGGCTATGAGAATCATATGAGTGCGCCCTCGAATGGTTGCAAGAGCCTGTCAAAAATGGAAAATTATCTCAGGTTACAACGCAGTTCACAAATACGTCAACAGCCTGGCAGTTGTGAATGATGGAGCGGATCGCGGAGTGAAGCTGGCACAGGAGATGATGGACAGAACGAAAGATGAGGACCAGCTGCAGGCGCTGGCCCAGGTGGTGGCAAAGCACAGGCCGCTTTACGGTCACACGAAGAAGGACGTTACATGGGTCTGTAGTGGTAGACAGATATTAAACAGGGTGCGATGACGTTACGTGTAGACCGTAGAGTGTAAATGGACCTCAGAGCAGTGTACAATGTTTAAGACGGATCTAAGAATAGGATACGATGTTTTAGACGAATCTCAGAGCAGGGTAGGGGAGAGTGGGGTAATTTGGCCGCTTTTTTTAGAAAACGATATAACTTAAAATTGACGACACATTTCTGCATTTTCTCAACGCTGGCAGGTGTCGCATTCATTTTACTTTACTGGACAGTGAACTTGAAATGATAGAGTAATTACTTATATCGAAATTGTGACGTATTACAAAGGTCTGCAAGGCGGCCAACTTGCCCCACTAGCAGGGTTATTTGGCCGGGGGTGTGGGGCAATTTGGCCGGTGTTAGTTTGCGGTCGGGATTTTCTGTTATATTGCGAGTCAGCTTCAGATTCAGCAATGACGTGTGTCCTATGACGCATTTGCCGCATTTTGAAGGTTGGCTCAGGGGTCACAGGGGTCAAAATAGCCAAATTAGCGGCTCTAGATGCGATCACAGTTTTTTACGAACAACTTTTGAAGTAATCAAGCTAGGCCAAAACTTCGAGTACCATCGTAATTCTCTCGTCAGTCCGCATCGAAAGATATATGTGTTGACCTTGAGAAGTCAAGGTCAAAGGTTGAACTCAGGTCACGTTGCATCAGGTCGCTTGACCTCAAGGTCACGTGATTTCAAGGTCATCATGCATATCATTCGATGCGCCTTAGCGAGTTGAACAGAATGAGACCATTTGTGCGGCTGTACCATTTTTATGTAAGGATTTATTAGCAAAAAACGTTTGGTAACCTTTGATGACGTCACATGCTCTTACAGTTGGCCAATCGGAAGTAAGGCATCAAAGTAGTCAAAGTTGGTCATGAATCATGTCATTTATGGTACAATTGACCATGAAAACTCGGCCGTCCCAGCATAGTGACCATGAGCGCACCGGCCAAGTTGCCCCGCTAGTCCCGGCCAAATTACCCCATGTTGCCATTCTGAAAATATTTGTCTATAAGGTCATCACGGATTTACGGAATTAGATAAAATTGCTCTTGGAACCACTGAACACCCCTAAGAATGGCGCTATAATGTCTGAATTCGTTTTTTAGCCCAAATACTACATGTTATACAACTTTGTAAACAGAAGTAAAAGTTACCATTTTCTAATAAAATTAACGTTTTATTAATTTTGAATAAAACTACGAGGGGCAAAGTTTTGACATTTGTCCTCCAGTTATTTCTACCCATGACAAATGAATAGACACTAGAGTTATTTCACTCACTTTTATTAGACATCGTACAGGTGGGGGCGGCCAATTTACACCACCGGCCAAATTACCCCACTCTCCCCTACGATATTTTAGACGGATCTCATAGCCGGGCACGATGTTGTTGTACGCGTGGACGGTCTCAGGACAGTGTACGGTGAACTTAATACCCATAGCTGCAATGTAAATTTGATTCTGTTCAATCTGCGTTTATGTGGTGTGCCATTGCCGCAGACTGTTCGATCTGAAGCGAGACATTTGAAGCACTAACCTGAGACCTTTATTTGATCGCTTACTCCTAAACGAAATCAGCGGCACATGAAATCACCGACACCAAGATTAAAACTGGCATTGCCTTCTATCCGGTAGGCACGCACGCAGTCACGCTCGCGCACACGCACACACACATACACACACGCACAGAGGCATACGGGCACGCACACACACAGTTTGACACGTATGTATGCGTACATAAACCCGGATTTTCATCATTGTGCAATGTGCGTGGGATCTGAGCATCACTGAGCATCGAAGAAGGTAATATTGCTACGTTGCTTACACATATTTCCCATTTTGCATTCGGAGACTACAACGCTGCACTATCATATAACACCAAAATGCAAATAAAACTTCAGAGCACTAGCGGCAACCTTGTTTACCGGTAGTTTACTCTATAAATTGGTGTGTGAGGTTCAAATGAACCAAGGAACGGGATCCCGGTGTATCCTAAGTGAATTGGAAAACTTCGTGAAATTTGGGACACCCTACTGCCCACCTTGTAGTTGTAGAGGTTGCAGTTTTGTAGCGCCGTCGTTTCTCTACATACACGACCACACAAAGAACTTTGGAATTGCTCGTTAACTGTAGGTTTTGTGAGCGTTTAAGAATTTCATGTTTTTTGCTCATTTTTGCTCGAACAGTTTGAGATCAATTACTCCTGACCTACTATAAGGTGACATAAGACTTGAAAGTTTGTGTGAAGGTTTCAAATTGATGCCCGGTAAGGTACTAAAAATTTGGCGACGCTGCGCGCCGCCGTTTTTCACTTTTCAAGAAAAACCCACATGGGGGCCAAAATGACCTCCAATCAGGGCGCGGGCTAACCTCTCTCTTTAGAAAGGCGTTACTTAATGTTTGGCCGGGGTATACTACTTATTGATACTACTGATTGGCATTTGCAAGGGCGCAGTCAAGTTGGGACCTCCCCCGCCCCTTACAGCCAAGGTAGGTGCGTATATTTTTTAGCAAAATTATTTTTTGGCAACCTTCCAAAATAAAGTGGGTGAAATCCGGGGAAAGAATAGGATTTGGGGGTAGGTAAAGTTCTGCGGGCTGCATTCTAACGAAAAACCTAATGGCATTGCCGCCCACCCCCTTTCAGATGCCCCTGGATCCGCCTTTGCCCCGAACTTTATTCCCCCTCTCAACTTTTCCTGTAAAAGTAACCCTGCGTCTAACACCGCCGGGCCGGGCCGGTGCTCTGAGACATAGGCGCGAGAGCCGGGGGGGGGGGGCAGTGGGGGCAGCTTGCCCCCCCCCCCCACAACTCTGGGGCCGTGGGGGCGGTGCCCCCACAGCTTTGAGACGGAATACCACACTTTTTTGCAAATGTTTTCTTTTTTTGTTGAAAAAGCCGAGGGGTGAAAAATAAGTGGCCTAAAACCGGTGAGAAAACTTGATTTGGGGGTACCCTAGGTCAATCTCTATTATGGTGTGCCCCCCCCCCCCCCTCCAGTCGGAAAGTAGTTCCCGCGCCCCTGCAGTCTGAGATTCCGCGCCGGGCCGGGGGGGGGTGTCTGAACACCCCCCTCGGCTCCTGGGCCACGTAGCGACTCCTAGGCGGCAATCGAAAGAACGTCCAAGACTCCAAAATAAGGACGAAAACACTTCGGTCATTTTTTGGGTCAGGTTAAAGGTCAGGTCACCAGAGGTCACCAAAGGTAAAATGTTGACTATTTCAACATTTTGGAAACTGCCGACGGCTATCTCGGGAACCGATAGAGCTACAGCGCCGCGGAAAAGCGCATTCGATAGCCCTTTTACAGACCTTTCTGAAGTGAATAATGTTCTCAGATTTGACCTCAGTCAACGGTTTAGCCTTCAGAGGGCAAAAACTCCAAAATAGCCATTTTTACGAAAAGCGTTTTTTCGGTAATAACTAATAACTTTTGACTAAAAAAAGCCATGACATTACTTTTGCCAGCATCGTGTTCCTCTCGTCGAGACGCGTCGAATGAACTATAATTTGACCTTGAAAGGTCAACTTGAAACTATGTAGATAGAAGACGCTATAGATACTAGGTAGGTATCATATAGATTCCGTTTTTTCGAAACTCGAAAAACTTTTTGGATTTTTCGGCTTATATATAAAAAAATAGTTTTTTTTATTTTTGGGGGTCAAACTTCAAAAATTTCAAAATTCGAGGTTGCAGTTGTGTAGCCCTGTCAATTCTACACCTTAGGTAGCCCGGCCGGGCCCGGGGGGTAGTCCCAACCACCGCAGCCCGGGGGGCGTTTTTCGCCCCCCCCCCCTGTCTAACTTCGTAAATAAGGGAGCTACGGAAACAAAAGCGATACCAAACGAAAGGTCCTTACGAGACGATTCTAAAGCACCTAAAATTTTTGACCTCAGGTCAATTTCCAAGGTCAGAGGTCCAGGTCAAAGGCAAAAACCGGCACATGTGTAGTGATCTCAAAGTAAGCCTTCTAGAGGACGGCAGGCTGCATCAAACCGGCAAAATTGGGTGTCAAACGAAAGAAGAGAATCTGAGGATTCCGAAAACGTGCTCAAAATTAAAGATCAAGGTCAAGGTCATGCTCAAAATTGACCTCAAACTTGGCACTTTTTCGCACATCTTGCGTGCTATCTTCCAAGATGTTTTGAAACGTTTTGAGGCTTATCAGTTCCCTATTTGTGGTTCATCTTACGATACAAGGCTGCTCAAAGGTCAAGGTCACAGAAGAGTATCCCTGCTAGAGGCTATGTCACTGATTCAAGTTAGTAATAATAAATAAGACATCTTTGCCATCCGGAAGCTCTAAATGAAGGCTTAGAGGAAAATAAATGCCAGATTCGTGATCAGCGGGTACAAATCCATCTTAAACGACCTTTCATGTGTCAAGGTCAACCAGAGGTCATTCCAGGTCACATGAGGTCAACATAAAATTTGACCTTTTCCGGACAAAATATATATTATTCGACGCGGCTTGACAAGGCGAATGCGATGGTACCACTGCCGTAGCTTTAGGGCCATTTTTGTCGAAGTTATTTCATATTTGCGAAAACTAAAACCACATTTCGGGGTCGTTGACCTGACCTCTGACCTCAGGTCACCAAAACTATTTTTCTATTTTCCTCTAGGTCAAACGCTACACAACCGTGCTCGTAATTTGTCTTTATCTCTAAAACTCTATTCTTAGCAGCTATTTGAAGTTTGAGTCTGTGACGCCAAAGTTTGCCGTGCAGGGGTCTAGAAAAATGGACCTTGTGACGTCATCAAGGGAGCTAGGTCCAAATTTTTTACTTCAGAAGATGTGAAATTGATGGGAGAAAAGGTGCTGAAAGTTTCGCTTTCCTATCCCTAAGCGTTCGAGAGCTATCGCAACTATTCGCCAGAGCCGCGATTTTGGCAGCATCGTGTTCGCCTCGCTCAGGCGCGTCGAATGATATGCTTTTTGTTCGGGTCAGGTCAACTTAGGGTGTTGACCTCAGGTCAAGGTCAGGTCAGCACCCCCAGGTCACGAAGTTGGTCGAAAGAGGTCATGTCGCATATCATTCGATTTGGCAGGTCTTCCTGAGTCCATTGGTGGCCTTCCAGACTCGCTAGCTCAATTTGATCAAGAGTTATTGACGAAAAACGAATATGACCCTGATGACGTCTTAAATGACGTCACGCAAGGTCAACATTGCAAAAGTGACGCATCTTACCTTGCATCAAATCACGATTCTGGGTGCTTGAGATGGTTGGAGATCGTTCCCGGCGCCAGAATAGCACTTTTCATTTTTCCCATTGACTTAAAATGGTGAGGTCACGAAAATGACCTGACCTCATATGACCTTTAGGAAAAATCCGAGATATGCAAGTTGTGAGACTCATAATGGATACTAGATCCTGCAAGTTTCATTTCCCTGTGACATCTCCTCTGGCAGTGAGGGCGTTGCGAAGTTGTGACATCTGAAGACCGTGCAGAGGTTCACTTATGACGTCATAAGCCAGTGACCTGACCTGGCCCCAAAAATGCGGTTGGTGTCAAAAGATCCGGCCTGAATCAAAGGTCAGGTGTGCCAAGTTCCAGCTCTCTATCGCCAGCGTCTTCGGAGCTATCGCGAAAAAAAACCTATGGGGGGCGGCACCCGGCTGCCGGCGGGTGCCGCCCCTCGCCGCCGCCCCCCCCCCCCTCGGCCGGCGAGGGTTAAACGAATGGTGGAGATCAAATACCGCTATTTTTCATCATCCAAGCTCTGATTTCCAGTTAGATCCTAGCCGAACAAGAAATGAAAGAAAATCATATCAGTACGTCTTGCCTTTTTTTTTACAAACCACGGTGGCACTCTAGAGTCGACAGTTTCATGCCGCAATCATGGTTCAGACTCATTTCACGCACGATGATCTCTGAGTAACCTCTGACACAATGGAATGCGAGTCACGCTCGCTGACTCGTGAACTCCTGAATCAGCGTTCGGCGAGACTTGCTGGAAGGTTCTGGCGTTACTCACACCCAGATTCATTCAACGTTGGAGTTCGGATTTAACACCGCCTTTTGAAGCTCATCTGACATTGGTGTGGATGATTGTGAAGTCCACCACGTGACCAATATGCTTATTACAGCAGTTATTTCTCAACCCAAGAAGCCCTGGTTTTCGATATTCTTAGCTATGGAAACTGGCTGTGATAGGGATCTGAATGTCCTCTTGATGGGTGATGTTCATATTTACTCACGCACATATTCTCTACAGCTATTCCCTCAAATATTGGGTAAAGTTGTAAACCACAACCCCTTAATTCATGCCACCATTCTTTCATATCGTGCAAAAAGGGCACGGACGAGCGGTGGCCAACTATGCTGCGTGCCTTTGTTACCGGCGCCGGTCACGGGTTGGTGGCCGGCCGGCTGTGTCGGGGGGCGAGGGAGGCCGACTGTGACCGCCGCGCCGGCGGCACCCCGCCGCGCGCGCCGCCGTCAGTGACGCCGGCCGACCCGCAGCGCCCGCAGCTACTCCCTGTCCGTCCACACAGCCCGACCATCGAGCTCCAAACAGCCCGAGAAGATGAAGACCTGGCTGACTCTCGTGATAGGTGAGTGGGGAGGCACCCTCGTCTGTCAATCGTAGAGGACAACGGGTGAAAACACCGGGGTAAATAATAAGTGCTGTAATGTACTAAATGCCGATACCCAAAAATCGTTTGAATTTATGAAACTCAGTCTACTGAGATCTGAATTCTTGTAGGAAGTTAAAGGCGACATGATTTGTCCAGTCTGTGCTCTACTCTGCGAGTGACTGAGGGAAGACATTTTATTAATTGAGACGGTTATTTAATTTTATTGATCGGGTTCGGTTAGTGCTGTGCGGAGGCAACGTATCACAAACGATCTTGTCGATGCTCGTATTTAAATTTTGCAAAGAGAATGACTAGGGCAAATAAATAAGGGTATGAATTGCTCCTATTGTAAGTACGTGATGCAAATTCATTCGCTGATGGCAATGCGATGCTCTGCATTTTAGCTTGTATTGACGGTTCCAAGAAACATAAGTCTCAGTGTTGAGTCAGGACATTATCTTGAAAACCGGTGAATATTTTTCGGTGAAATTTGGTAGATATTCGTTTTCGCTCTTTCTGAACCGAGCGACATCACTTTCATGCCAATTCATAAACTTTTTTGCAGGTGGGAGGGTCCCTTTAAGCACACTGGCGTTGGCTTTGGATTTCTGCAACCCTTTGAAGTGTGAAAAACATATGTGTGGATTTTATCAACTTTCACCTTACCTGAATTAGAAAAAATTGAATTGAATTCACCTTACCTGAATTCTTCCCATGCACCTTAGTTTATTATTAAACTTTCATTACACTTTCATTTTTTTCCTTATCATTTTGTTCATTTTGCATCCATCGACGACACAGGTAGTTCGTGTTTGACGCTATCTTTGGTGAATATCATCAATGAGAAGCTGGTACTTATCCCAAAAAAGTTTCTCGTCCACTTCGTTATACTCTCCTTGTAAATCATATGTTCATCAATCATTCAATTGCATTTTCCTTGCTTAATGACTTTGTCAAATAACTCAAGAATATTGAAACACCATTAATGAGTATTCAAATTATGGGAGTGACTGCGTTTCAAACATTCACGAGCACACATGCAGTTTATCATCGATTTGTGGCCAAATTGAACTCTGGCGCGCTGACCAAACACGGCTGGGCGGTGGGGTGTCTCGCCGGCACGCTGGGTCGATACTGGTGGGTGATGGGGTGGCCACACCATTCCCCCACCTCTCCTCTGATCCCACCTGCGGGCCCGATCCAACGGCGCTGGGATAGACGTGCCAGTGCAAACAAGGCGAACAGAGGCCATCGTACAGTACAAACTGTGAATATCTATATACTATATTACCATCGCAGTATAAAGCAGGCGAACAGATGCTGAGTGAGCCATATGAATAAACGAGTGCCTCCCGTCCTTTTTATTAGCATTAGCCTTTTTTGTGTGGTTTAAAATTGTTGTATCAAACAGATATTGTTAACCTGCGCCCCACTGGGGGGGGGGGGGGGGCTATTCATAGCCCTCTCCCGTTTTTCTGCAATAACTTCCAAACTGCTTGACGTATCAACACCAAACTTTCAGTACCTTCGGCTGCATTAATTTGACACCTTGTGTCAAAATATGAACTTCGTAGCTGCCATAGGTCGGTCGGGATTGACGTTAGAGTGACGTCATGTTCGGCCGATTTCGACGCAAAACATTGAACCACGGCAATCGCTCCCAAGAGCTCAGTTTTTAAGCTAGATCCAATTTCTTTGCATGAGAGGACTCAAAATAGACTGCGCTATCAAACTGCTATCTCGGATTTTCAAACTTTTGCAAATTTTGAAAATTATATGTAATAAAATTCAAAATTTATATTTTCATATTTTTTCAAACACTTTTCGACTTTTCGAAAAAACGGAATATATGTGATAGAACACATGCTTATGACTTACTGTAGCAAGTTTTTAGCTAAATAGGTATCTTTAAAAATGGCCAAGTTATACGAATTATTGCCAAAAATTCACAATTATAATTTTTTTCAAATCAATTTTTCGGTACGTATTTGACATCGTACACCAATACAACTAGCACTGTCGTGTTCCTGAGCTCAAACTGCATCCAATACACACATTTTTTATTGAAAAATTTTAGTTTCATCAAAATTTGACCTTTTTGACCTGAAAGTGACCTGACCTAAGCTAAATTCAACTCAAAATGACCTCGAATGACACAAACGACATTAAATTCGAAATCTACGGCCTAAATGGATCATAAAACATATGTCACGTGGCCGACGTATGATATAATATTTCCGTGACCTGTGATGACCTGACCCTGACCTGAAAATCAAAGTACAAGTTTGCTACCCTCAGGGTATCTAAAGCATCTGTTCACAAGTGTTTAACAAAAAATGGGCCTGATCTGACTTGTAAGACGGCGGCCAGAGCCCAAAATGTGAACAAGCCAAAATGCTAACACATTTTACTTTGACCTGACCTGTGACGCCATCGATGACCTCGAGGTCAATGAAATTAGGTTTCGTTCGACAGTTTTTCCGGGGCTATCAGACGCCGTTTGAGTTTTGACGATCGGCCGAGTAGTTTCAGAGTTAAGAGGGGGGCTATGGAGAGCCCCCCCCCCCCGTAGGGCGCGTTATACGCAGACCCCAGTGGGGCGCGGGTTAAGAACTTAGTATTTAAGGCTGATAAATTTTCACGTTTACCCGTTTTAAGTTTTGCTTCCCGTTTGTAAAGGTAGTGTCTTACTTGCTCCCCCGAATCAGCTGAAGAAACCGATATTCATCATCAACATCCTTGAAGGCGCCTAATGCGCTGCCGTACATGATCAGCTATGTGTACACAGAATTGCATATGCCTACGAAGCATGCAATTGGAAAAGATATACATTCTCCGTAGTGCTTTAGAAAGATACAGCCTCACAACTCAAGCCCAGGGACAATTTGTAACATTAGCTACACAGCTACGATGCCCAAACATACTGCCCAGTAACCGCGTAACATCGTGCACGCCCAAGTGTCCTCCGTTTCCCGCAAATAATCCCGCCATCACTGTGTTTGTCTTCTCTCGAGTATTCAGGGCCGAGTCGATTTCGGCTGTGGCGCAGTGTACGACGTAGCGCTCCGGCTGACTGAGGCGGGGTCGGGGCGCGCGGAGCCGGGGCGGGGCTGGCACCACCCGGTCCGCTGCCGCTGTCCCCGATTCTGCGACTCTGTGGAGTCGAACGCCGCTTGTTCTGGCTGTCGTTTGAGTGCGCCCGCTTGATCGTTAGCGGTGGGCTCGACGACATCGTGCGCCCGACGAGCCGCCGATGCGCCCGTCCGCCAGGGAGGGTCACGTGATCAGACGAACTGCCTCGGCGCCTATACTCAGAGAAAGTCACATGATCTGAAGACCCATCAAGAACATCCCTGAACTTGGCTCCGTTATGAATTTTATGCGATTATCAAAGAACAAAAAGCAGGCGTCTTTCGTGTTGTTGATTACAGGACATTTACGGAAATTATTGAACTCGTTTCAACTGGAGTGAAAAGTAACATCCCACATTGCTTACAAAAGTCAATTTTACAATGTCTGTGCTAAGGCTGACGGACAGAACATCCTTTACTGACACCCGACGGCAAGGGCTGAGTTAGCGATTGTCTACTTTTTTCCGCTACGACTCGTCCGAACAAACTGTGCATGCAATCACAAACCTATCTCAAATTCGGCACGCAAGGCTTGAATGAAAAAGCTATTTAAACATTTGTATTAACTCCAAGTCAGCCGCTACTGATTCCCTCCAGTAGCACAAATGTATTATTGGTATAATTTCCAATTCCATTATGAAATCACAAATCATTCCCGACGGTTCCAGTCCCTGCCTCACTTTGAGCCGATTTGTGCAGCCAATGCGCGCGACGGCCACACTCCAGTTTTTATTTGAAGGCGCAGCTGCTCGAGGGTGACAGGCCTGCGGTATGATAATTTGCCATGGCTGTGGAGTGATTACTGCGGTGGCGGCGGCGCGGGCGGGGGCGGGGGCGGGGGCGGCCGTCACGGGCGGCTCGTGCCCAGCACGTGCTCAGCCGGCCGGCGCGGGCCAAGTGGTCGCGCGCCGCCGCCGGTCCGAAACGCTCCACGGAGCGGTAGGCCACACCACACCTGTCGGCGGCCGGTGGCCTCCGGTGGACCCGGCACGACCCAACGGGACGGACCGCTACTGAGGAGGGTCGAACTGAGCAGGCTGGAGCTAAAGAAGGTCGAACAGGAGCGAGTGAGGAAAGACGGGACTGTGCGAGTAAACAGGGCCGAAGAGGATCTCACAGAGCCGAGCGTCACAGGCAGGACTCAGCAGGACCCAATTAAAACCGGGTAGATCCGAGGAGGACTCCATATAGCTGTCCGGCATCGAAGGCTTACGATTTGGACATTCGACTTCATCTCTAATTGCCACAATATTTCCATTTATCACTTTATACAATACCTAAATAATAAATTAATGTATTGGATAATAACATGCATCCAGTGCTCAATCACTATTATAGGATCTTTCAAAATCTGCTACGGTCCAGCCGCAGGCGATATCCGAAGTGTGGCCGGCGGGCTGCCGTTTCCGCGGCAGCAGGTGTTTCCGGAGGATCCAGCGGCGGCCGTGCCGGAGGATGGTCACCGAGGGGATGGGCGGGGCGCCCCGACTTCCGCCGGAGCTCTCAGGCAGCACCAAGGTCACAGCGGCGCAGCCCACCGCCGGAAGGGGTGGCGACGGGCACCGAAACAGCTCTGTCCTGCCGAGTCACGGCCAGGTCAGTGGTCACGCGCCCAGCGTAACGCTGCCGAGCGTCACGGGCTGCGTAGAACCGTGAGGTAGCCTGCTTTCTGGATTATCTGTGCAGCTTAAGATGATTGCATTACAGTGGTTTCAAAGTGAAAATGACAAAGCCAATCAAAATGGCATTTTCACTTGGCATTTCACCTTTCGGCTTTGAGTCTGGCTGGTACTTTGTCGCGTCATTTGTATCCCATTATATGGGAGCATGTAACACCAGGAGTATAGGATAATCTCATGAGCTGGATCATAAGGCATTAACCCTACCTCATAGCCTAGTTCTGCTGTTACGCTTCTGAATGCCAGTGGCCCAACTACTGAGCACACAGAATGGCCGAATACATCGACGAAGACACACTCGTTCTCTGCAATGATGCACTGATTCATGTGCAATGCACCTAGACTTCACTCTCCTAGAAGTTTTATCTTTGCCTCACAACCCGTATATCGCAAGGGCGAAGGTCAAAGCGTCCCTGCATGATTGTCTACTACCTTCTCCTCATGCGTGCACATGAACCCGCGCGGGGCTGGGGGGTAAATTTTACCCCCCTCGCGAATTTTTGCAATATCTCAAAAACGGCGGCGCGCAGCGCCGCCAAACTTTCAGTACCTTTTCTTACATCAATTTGACACGTTCCCTGAAAATTTGAGCGAAATCCGTCGGAAAATTTTTGAGAAATTGACGTTTTAGTGACGTCATGTTCGCCATTTTCGCCTCAAAAACGGCAAAAGTTCAAACGCCGCTAACATCTTCATTTTTAAAGGAATCAAGACGTAACAAAAAGGATATACGTAATTTTACTTTGTCTATCAAATGGCTATCTCGGTTTTTTGAAAATTTTGGATTTTGGCCCAAATTTTTCAAAAAACTGATTTTTTTTTGAAAATAGCTATAAAATCCAAAATTTTGAGTGCATCGAAAAAACCGGAATATATGTCAGAGAAGTGGTCTATGTGCACCTACATACCAAGTTTTACAAGAATCGGTTCAAAAATGTGGGAGTTATTCAAAATTGTATGACGTCACGACACACAAAAAAAAATTGAAAAATGACTTTTTTGGAAGTTCTAGACCTCGTACGGAAACAAAAGTAGCACCATTCGATTCGCCGTGAAAAACTGCATCAGATAGACACCTTTTTAGGCCTTAATAACCAACTTCAAAATTTGACCTCACTTGACCTGACCTTGACCTGACCTCGACCTGAAATTCATCCAGAGGTGGTCCATATCAGTTATCACTTATTGAGTGTGCCTATTGAATTCTATGAGTAAAATGACCCATAAAACATGTGTCGCACATGCCCTTTTCTATATTTTGTTTTTGGTGACCTGACCTGACCTGACCTGACCTTGACCTTGACCTCTGAATGATATTGTATGCAACGAATATTGTCTTGGTAGCCTAAGAACACGTTTTGGGCGATCAGTCTCAGTCCATGACTCCATTCTTCGGCAACTACGGTGCAAGGCCGATACTGTAGGAACTTGCAATTTGTACCCTTGACCTGACCTTGACCTTGACCTCAAACTTAAAATTAAGTACATGTTTTTAGTTGTTCGTGATGAGATCTTTCGATTGGCGTTTGAATTTTCCAGATCGGACCATTAGTTCGGGAGATAAGAGGGGGGGGGGGTAAAATTTACCCCCCCCCCCAGCCCCGCGCGTTCGGCTGGAGACCCCAGCCCCGCGCGGGTTAATATTGGACATATTTATTTACTTACAACGCATACCAACTAGTTATTCTGATAGGTCAGCTAAGCACTATATGCAGAATATGTGCCTCTCAGCCACGCTGGTTATTCATCAGCCAAGGTGTTGGCATGTCACTATACCTACATCCATAGTCCAATAGGCATTTAGAAAAGTCAACAACGGTCATGCAGGAATCAGGATACACGGTAATGATAACAAATGCAGACGGTCATGTTTGAAATAAGGTTGGCAGCCCTCAGACATGACTGATGCTGTGCTGTCACTAATTGGACTAGACCTGACAGAGCTGACGGCACGCCGAAAGCGGTCCCATATCAAACTTTTCTGATTATCGCGTCACCACGCCACCGCTGCACCGCTTCGCCCGGGGGCTGCCGAACAGCGCGCAATTATCTGCACGACATGTTTGCTCTGCTCAGCAATATTCTGACCGCGGAACTGCACAAAAAGTACACCCTGCCGTCTAAAGCGTGTTCTTCCTCATGTTGACTGCGATAGTTGATACGAACTAAACGACAAATCATTCCCCATTACGTTATCACGGATGACGGCACACAAAACAAAATCTTTTGGCATTACCATGACGCAACAGTGCGTTAAATAGCGAACAGTGCTACACAGCAGCAGCGTCCGGGATGTGCCAGTCCCTCTCTATTCTGGCATTCAGACCCGAATCAGTGCTTTGCATATCGACAGGGGCCGCCCAGCCCCTCCCGCGGTGTCACCGGCGCGGCGGGGGCGTTATCCTGACAGCAATGCTCTACCATCCATACACTTTCCGAGCGTTGGGAGAGGTCCCACAGCACGTGGTAGGTTCAAAGGGCCGGCGATATCCGCCCGGCGTCCGGCGGCGCCCCGCGCCACAGTCCGGGGGGTGGCACCCGCGGGGGAGAGAGGGGAGGGGGGCTCGGCCCGGGGTGTGGCGCACCGGAAGCCAGCGTGCCGACGGGCGCTCTCCCCACCGCGCCGCGGTGACTGAGCGATGCGCAGTTGTGGGCCGGTAGTACCGCGGTAGTACGTGGGCAGCGCGAGCGTCACGGAGGACGCGCTCGCGCACACCGCTGACCCGGTTAGCCCCATCCCCGGATTTGGCGCGAATTTTTGCACGCGCGTTTGCGGTCAGCGCGCGCTGAGCGCATCCATGTGAGAAGCGCGTGCCGATGATATTGGCACCGATTGAAAGAAACGAACGTGAATTGGGACAGAGAAGAGGACGATCTGTTGGACGAGCGCTATACTTCCAGTCAGTATTCCATATACTGTGCGGGAAGGTGAAGGGGGGGGGGGAGGCAGCAGAGCACCACTTCAAGCATTGAACAAGGCAGTGTTGATCAAGTTCAACATATTTCTTTACGCAACTCGCAGTCGCTGTGCACCACATTCACAGCATATACTGTGACATCATTCAACACACACTTGACCAGTCGTTTTCGTCTGCGCAGTGAAACAGTGGTCACTATGAAGCCGTTCCTCGGTGATAAAAATAACAATACCTTTGTCTGTGGAGGCTATTTACGGTACTGTAGCATGGTCGGGGAACTGTGATGATATCGCTGTCTATTCGTCAAACACCAGGCGTGACGACTGCGATGAAAATCGTGAGGGATAAAAACACTGACCCATAGAAATATAATATATGCGATTATGTAGGTAAAACTCATATTGTGATTGAAAGTTGAAATGAAAGGCATTTCGATGCGTCCATCGTTCATAATATGCTCATCGTGTCGTTTGATAGCTTTCAGCCTTAGAACTTAGAAGGGCTGAAGCAAATACATTAGATGGCATAGATTCAACACCTACTACTACAGTAGCACCAATGCTAAAGTACCGATCAGGAGCGGCGCTCGCCGTCATTCAGAGGTCGATAAAATGCTTGGAGTTGCTCCAACGAACATCTTAGTCCCACCACTGTCTCCAACTTAGCCCTCGCCTGGCGGGGGGGGGGGGGGCAGCCTCCCCTAAGTTTTTTTTTTTCGCGAATAGCGTAAAAGTTGGTGTCGCGTAGCGCCGCAATATTTGGCACAACGTCTAGGAATGAGCCTTTTGCTACCTATCCTGAAAATTCACTGCCATCCGCCGCGTCGGCACACGGGTATCTCCTCACCTTCTCCCCACACGGCCTTGACTCCCCAACTCACAACATCACACTACTGCATACGGTGACCGGTCGCACGGTGGATCTGAATGCCTACGTTTTCGCGCCAAAGTCTGAAACAACTAACGATTATCATCAGCTTAGAGATGTTGAGATTTAGCATTTTAAAGCTTCTAATTCAAAAGTTTATATGTGTGCTTTAACGCACTTGTCCTTATTGATTGAGAAAAGAGCGGACTTTTTATCGTATTACCTAATACGAAGTAACGCAATCGAAGTGTGATTTCGGTCCACTGTGCGTTTTCAGGCGCGCTCGATAAAACACCCAGGCCTGGAGAAAGTTGGAAGGGTGATTTTCTGATCCTCCTTACCACAAAATGACCCTAAGCGAAAAAATGCCCGCAGGGCGCTGCCAACGCGTGCCAGCGGCCCTGCTAGTAAGGGCGAAAATCAATGTATGTGTATGCGGAGCACACCCTTAGCGCTACGATGGCTCCTTGGAGACACCTGGAGAAACCTCTGCCGGCAGAAGGGTCAGGTCCCTCGCAGACGGCGCGGCAAGGCGGGAGCTCAGCGGGTGGCCTAGCCGGAAAGAGGATAAAAATAGCCGACTGGCCCGACCCAGCGAGGGGTGACCGAAGGGTGACCAGGAGTGAATGAGGGAACATACACGCGGTACTTACCGAGCAGCCGATAACAGCACCGGACGATTATAAAGTCATAAGTCAATGCTGTATTTTAGGCGTAAGGAAGCATCCATGTTGACGGGCGGACTGTCTCCAGCTCTTCGAAGCATTGCTAATATCTTGCTCCAACGAGCGTTGGCACGTTGGAAGTTTTATCGACCACTGCCGTCATTGCTCGAAACCGCGATCGAGTGGAACGCCGCGGCTCTGCCGCCTGAAACGTAGGCTGTACCGGCGCACACCCCTGCCGGCCGGCACGGTATATCAGCCCAGGCGCGCGGCACCTTAGCCCACTGCTCAGCGAATGCTCCACCTGACTAGCTCTATAATCTATAGTCTCCCCATTCAAATCGACGGCTGCTCATTTTGACCGACCCGTGCCCCGCTGACCGTTCTGCAGCCGCTCCCTCCGACCGACACCATCCTGCCAGCTGTTCAGCGGCCTCTGTTTTAGACCGGCCCTGATTGAGTTACAATTCGCCACTCTGCAGCCGCTCTCACTAACCGGCCCCGTCCCTTCTCGCCTGTTGACAGCGCTGGCGGCGGTTCGAGCGGGCCGCGCCGAGGAGGTGATGAACAAGTGTATCCAGCTGGCGATGCCGCTGCTGAGCGAGACCCACCTGGTGGTGCCGTCCACTCGGGAGGAGCTCAGAACCGTATGCGAGTGAGTACGCCGCCATGTGGTCGGGAGGGGACTCTGGATTGATACCCACATACTTACAAACAGACGGGCCGTCGCGATATGCTCAAGTGCTTTCCAGATCGAATGGCCCTCATTGTATCTCATCACATTGCAAACCTATCGAAGTACGGCCCTCGAGGTATCGATGCTGAAAAACTTATTCAGCTTGTGGTTTATTATCAACTTAATGTTTTTAGGTAAATGCTTGACACTTTTCAAATTGTCCAAGCAATTTTTACGTCAGAAGCACACTTACCTTCCTATTTTGACGACTACTTTGATCGACTACTTTACCTGTTTGACTTATGTTTCAGGAAATGGCGCGTATTTGTTGACTGCATCAACAATTACGTATCAAAGAAGTACACCAGCGAGCAGAAGGATGCCTTCAACGGCGCGGTGGAAACGGCCGTGCGTAACGTGTTCCGAATGTGCCAGGAGCCGCAGTACAGCGAAGGTCAGTACCTAGGGAAATATGAGATACCTACCTACATGCATTGCGGGCAGACGTGGCGGACTAGGTCACCGGTCACCATGTTTATTAGCACATGTTCGAAATCAACCGTTTTCACAAAAGGGTATTAAATAGTGAGGGCAGCTGAGATGCTCGCAAAATTACCTACCAGTTTAACTTCAGAAATGCATATCCGTAAGCGGTAGCGCTGGTAAAAAATGCTATAAAGCACGTCAACAAGCATGCAGTTAGGTAACCGAGACCTTGCACCCCCAGTCATTATGACCACCGGTGGCGACCGCGCTTGGGGGCTGGAGCCTGACTAACTCCAGTTGGCAGCACCACCCTGCGGCTCCATTTGTTCTGATGAGCGCAATTCGAGCGGCCGACACAACTTGCGCTTTTGAGTCCGGGAGTTTTGAATTGGGTGTACTTAAGCGGGCTATTTTGGGTTACAAGATATAACTTCGAACAATGCCACCTCTTTATGACTCACCACGACTTACTTTGGGCTAATGAGAAGCAATTAAGCCTCGCAACTTTACCCAGAGACAATTGTTCTAACCATAAAATCCTCTTAAGCGTGGTGGCGACACGTATAAAATACCGTAGGAGTCACTGCATTTCGCATTCAGTGGCTTAATTGCAAAGCATCACAACACAAAGTACGAGTAGTTAAAACTTAAAAGTGAGCTTCAACAGCATGTAACTTCCATTTCAAATAGACCATCTAAATATGTATACTTTGAGGTGTATAATAAGGCCATGTTGATTTCCACATAGCGATGAAAAAATCGAGATGAAAAACCACAGTCTTTTGTCGCGATGCATAGTAAAATGCACCTTCTGGGGTTCTGGGGTTTGTCGGTGTAGGATAAAATGTGCCCTTCCGGGTTAAGACAATCTTCATTTTAAACCAAGTTTCTGCCTACGTGGACAGCAGTATTGCTTACCATTCTTCAGATCCATTCCTTTGCCGATCTATATAATTATAGCTGAGAACTGAAACTGAACCAAGCCACAACGAACAACTAGGTGAACTAATGAGGGTTATGGACACATTCGCACTATTCTTAATTCTAATACTACTGCAGAATGAAGCCGCTGGGACTGGTGCGGGTCTCCGGTGGTGGGGTGCTGGGGCGGGGTCGGCTGAAGGTTATGGAGTTGTGAAACGCTGCTGCCACGGTCGGCAGTCCGGAACAATGCCGGCAGGACCGCTCAGCTGCCACTGCAGGCCCCGACAGGCTGCCGACAGCGGTCTGTCGGCGAGGGCAGAGGGAGGGAATCGCACCACCGCTCGCGCTGCTGACACGCCAGCAGAAGCACGCATCTCGACCTCACCGATACTGAGCGCATGACGACCTCATCAACAGTACCTAAATCTCTGCAACACCGCTCTTATTAACCCTATTCCTGGCGGGGGGGCCTCAGGAGCCCCCCCCCCCTGAGGTTTTTTGGTTATATCTCCCAAACGCGTTGAGCTAGGAAGCTCAAATTTTCTGACTTTTCCTAAAAGGCTTCTACGCAACATGTCTGAAAATTTTGAGTTGATCTGACCTCAGGTCAGGTCACCAGAGGCGGTTTGGTGACCCTACCTCAGAAAAGTTTGCAATCACGCCAGAGCTAGAGTTTTTGACCGATCAATTTCTTCTCTTCAGGGTTTAGTTAGAGTACCAGTATGTGCAATTTGTATATCTCGGAATTTTGATATCGGTGACCTAAGGTCAGGTCAATTTCGCGACCTCCCCATTATAAGTCAATGGGGGAAAAATCAACTCCCTGTTTTTACCACTAAAACGGGTCGGAATGGCCCCATATACCATACATGACTTCATATACGATCAACCTTCACTACCTTGAGGTCTGTTTTGCTGTTGGGCAGCTGTGAGGTCATGTGACGTCATCAAAGGTCACCAAAGGTTTTTGGCCAATAACTCCGTACAGGAACAAGATACAGACGCGTGGATGGTCTCATTGTGTTCAGCTCGTCAAGACGCATCGAATGATATACATGATGACCTCGAGGTCACGTGACCTGAGGTCAACCTTTGACCTTGACCTTTCGAGGTCAACATATATATCATTCGATGCGGATTGACGAGAGGATCACGATGATTCCCTTAGTTTGTTCCTATCTTGACTAATTCGAAAGTTATTCGAGAAAAACTCTCTCCATATCTAGCGCCGCCATTTTGACTTTTTCGACCCCTGTGACGTCATCTTTGACCTGACCTGAAAATGACCTTTGTAAAAATTGTAGATCTTGACCGTGCGTATCCGATGCCGTTTGCCGCTTGTCGCTATCTTGCTTCGTTCTCGAGATCTCAGGGGGGGGCCGAATCGGCCCCCCCGCCAGTTTCTTGTCCCGGCGGAGCCCGCCAGGAATAGGGTTAAGCTACGATATTTCATATGAAAATCCATGAACGCTGAGTTCTTGGTTGAGTTCCGATAGGCATCCAGCATTGCTGGTGAGTTGTTCGGACGGTCATCACCGTCCGGTCATTGACGATCGCGTTCTCCTGTCACCAGCCTATCTGCGGCACGCGCCGTGTATCAAGCAGATGACGATGGAGCCGTCCCGGTGCGGCACCTACTACACCAACATGGCGCGCGCTGTGACCGACGGCACCGGCTCCGACGAACAGATCTGCTGGTAAGACACCGACGGTCGTCACTCGTCATCTGACCACGACTAGTCGCCCCAACAATGATGTAAAATGTTCAAAAAGTAGCACCTTTCCCTGTCGGGTAAAGCTGACTGAGCAGCTATTCCAAACAGTGGCGACGGCTTCAGAACAGCGGCACGAAACGATCGAAACAGTTTCTGCTTTCTGAGTTTGGGGTTGACTGTCGAGCGTCGACCCCGCATACCTCCGGAGCAGCCGTCACCGCGGCCGTTATCACTGCCAGGGCCCGCGCCTGTGACGGTGACTGTGACTGCGACTGTGACTGCTGACTGTGACTGCTGACCGCCGTGACCGTTCGGCTCGGCGGCTCCAGCCGGCGACAACCGTTACTGGAGCGCGCGCGGCCGCCCTCCGCCGGCCAGCTCCGAGCTAGGCAGGATCGCTCGCCGCTCCCCTCCCCGGTGGCGGTACAACCGACTCAATTCGCGCCTGTCAGCGGCTACTGATGGCGATGACATGCACTGACCGACCGCTGCCGTCGACGTGGCTCGGCAGCTGGCCCCATGCGGCCCTCAGTCATTTCGGAGTGCCGGCGGGGCCCGGGGTCGACCCGCCCCGCTGGCCGTAACGTCTGTGATCACCTGACCTCGAGCCGGCCCGGATAGCCGGCGGGCGTGACCCCGCCGAGTCGCAGCGTCGGTAATTAGCCCGGTGCTCCGAAAGGCGCCGCTGGCTCGAAAAAGGTGTCACGTTTCATGACCGCAGACGCTACTCCATAACTTTGCGATATGATTATGCATAGCGTAATCTGAGACAGTAAGTAATTGTTATAAGCTTGTTCGCTCCTCAGCCCTGTCACTAACTAGCTGCAGAAACCATTCTGAATTGCCATTAGTTCCAATTCATAGGCACAGAACCTATTGCATTCGCCTCCCGTGACAGTTCAAAACTTCAAAACGAGCCGGCTGAGTGTTAGCCTCGTCACTTTTCGCGGCCAAGATTGGGCGTTGCGACGAGAAGGTGCCAACAATTGAAGTTACTTGAAGGGATTCCGCAAAAACCATCGTCTTGACAGTGCGCCTAGTAGCTGGGCTAAAGACATTAGACTCCTACCATTCTCTTGCGCAATATCATACAACAAACACACGTCAGTCGTCACTTAGATTCCTCCATGTGCAGCAAAACACTCTGGTTTATGCAGAGCTCTGCTGAGTGGATGGATACAATCGCTGCATGACATAACGGTTTCTTCGGGGCGGTACCCTCGCAAACCTCAGAAACACCTTATTCTCACGACCCAACCATGACGTATGCCGTATGCACATGCTCTCTCGCAGCCACCAACACACCGGGGGCCAAGGGCAGACCGTCCGGAAATGAGTAGGACACCTGGCTGGATTGTGTCAGCCAAGGTCATCACTGGCACGAAATAATGGTAACTGCCTGCGTTTCGCTGTTCGTGTAATCGCAGCGGTTAACATCGAGCGCTCAGCGTAATTCACAGGCAGTCCCCCATTACTGCCGCATCACTGCGCGGGTCTGAAATCACCAAAGGCTTTACCGTGAGTGCCGACACGCCAATGGTTGTGACAGGCTTTTCTGCAGCTCATATGCTCGGCGGTAGTCGAGAATTAATGCCGAATTAGCCGCAACCAGCTTGTATATGACTGAAATAAAAACTTTCCCCTGCTGCTGGAGCGTAAGAATGGCAGCTCGACTTTGATTGCTGACGGGTAAAAGACTGGAGTACGTGTTTATCGTGTGAGGTTTTGTTTGTCGTATGATGATTGCAGTTTGGGTGACCACACCGCCCTCCTCCCGCAGCCTGCACCGCAAGTTCCGCGACTGTATGGCCGAGCAGGGCTCGTGCGACAGCTCGCCCCGCGACTCCTCCGTGCAGGAGTTCGTCAGGGAGTTCCTCGATAACGGCCTGCACGTCTTCGACGAGAAGTGCCACAACTATGTGTGAGTTCCCGGCTCGGCAACCGCATTACCAGACTCATCGCTTATATCGCATTCACCTCTGCAACGATTCCCTTGGTTCCTTTGGGGAATAAGTTACGCATCGCGGCATATAGGAATGAATGGTTGTGAAATCGCCTGCGTTGCTGGTCGATTTCATAACCAATGCCGTGAGATCAGCCAATAAGACAAACAATATGCATCGATGCGCAGATGATCCATTGTTTGTAGCATTAGAAAGTCCTCATTATACAATACCTAGCTTGGTAAAAGGCACTGCCTTTCTGCCTTATCGTTTAGATGCAACGCATTCTCACAAAAGAACGTGACCCCCAAAACACTTTTTTAGTCTTATCAGCCAGCCATTGAGATTGATCTTGCTAACGACGCAGAAAACTCTCATTATAAGTAAAAGTCTTTGCTATGAGGAAAGGAGAGGTGACATAAGGTTAGGAGAAATTAGAAGCCTGGATAACAATGGACGCGGGGAAGCTGCAAATAATTTCTTAAAGTCCTTACTTCTCTGCCGATAAGCTAAGGTGCCGCGGCACTCCACACAGCGGTCGGTCTACCCAAGGCCCTAAAGGTCTACCGACCAAGACCACCAGAGTACCTCTCATGACCCCAGTAATAGCTGCCGTGGTTCCAGCCACCCGTGACCCGCCAGTCGTACCCACAGTGACTCCAGAGGTACCCAGCGTTACACCAGTAATGTATCCCGTGACCCTAGTCATGACTGTTGCATCCACATTCCGTGACGCCGCCGAGTATTTTCCGTGACGTTCATCCGTGTGACCCGACAGGTTCAGTCCTCGGCACTGCGCCGGGCCCCGTCAGACCCGGGTGGACGACTATGGCCGCCGTCCGGAGCCGCAGCCGCAGCCGGAGCCGCAGCCGGAGCCGGAGCTGCGGCCCGAGCACCGCGCCACCGAGGAGCAGGAGCGGCGCTGGCCGCGGCCCGGTCCGACCGCCGCGCCGGCGGCCCGGCCCGGCGCCACCACCACGCCCTACCAGAGCTGGTTCCACCCGGACACCACCACCTCCGTCTGGCTGGCCAACAACGCCATCGACGACCTGGCGCAGGCGCAGCGTCAGGAGTCGGCGGCCGGAGGCGCCGCCGCCGCCGCCCTGACCCTAGCCGCCGGCCTCCTGGCCGCGCTGGCAGCACGGTGAGCGGCACGGACCCCGGTCTGCTGCCGCGTGGTCTGGTCGGGTCTGGTCGGGTCTGATCTGGGTCTGGTCGGGTCGAGTCGGGTCGGGTCGGGTCTGCTCCGGGTCTGATCTGGGTCGGGTCTGGTCTAGTCTGGCCTGGGCCTTGTTCGATCTGATCTGGTCTGGGCCTGGTCCGGTATGGCATGGTCTGGTCCAGCCTGGTCTGAACATGTCTGGTTAAGTCTGGCGTGATCTGATCCGGGCTGGTCAGGTATGATCCAGTCTGGTCTGGTCTGGTCTGCGTGTCGCTCAGTCCGGCCGTCAGTGAACACTCGGTGACACGGTGACGGAAACGGCCCGGTGTGTGTGTGTGTGTGTGTGTGTGTGTGTGACGTCACTCACAGCGCCGCCGGAAGTGGACCACCTGCCCGTCGCGGTGCGCCGCTCCATCCGTCTCACTCCGGTGACGTCATCCGTGCTCGTGACGTCACGGTCCGGCGGCGCGCTCCCGAGGAGCGAGTGATGGCAAGGAGCGACCACCGATGTGGTCAGTCAACAGGAGACTCGAGCATAGCTGCATGTCGTGACTGAGTGATCTGAGGCCTGACTGATGATTTTGATGTGAATAGGAGGTGTTTCCGTTTTCAAATAGTGTTTCCAAGCAGTTGTAGCATAAGACGAGAAGCAGCACGAGGCTGCAGTAAGTTCACCACCCACCTTTATCGTGACATGATGAGCACATATTCGCACAAAACATGCTAACTGACCAAAGAGTGGCAACGTTTACAGCCAATCGAAGCTGGAGCGACCACCGTAGTGTATGATGTTGCGCTTGAAAGCTTGAGGGAGTGCTGTATGTATTGTATAGTGTCACCTGTAAAATGCATAGGTATTAGGTACGATTACGGTGCAGTGCGCGTGGAATGATCGAGTGTGCGTGACGGTACCATTATGTTGCGCGTGTGAGCACTGAGGTCAGCCGCGTCAAGCTGATGTATCGGTAGCTATTAAGTCGTGGAGCCAGTGGCCCCTGCGACTTTGGTTTGAAGGATGGATAGTCGAGCGAGGTCACTCGCTCAGCAGAGGCGAGCGCAGGACAGGGCGTCGAGTCCGATCGCCCAATTCACGGCGAGTCCAACAATATTTGTCCGTGACTATTTATCTATTCCTGCCCACGTCTAAAAAGTTGTTTGATTCAAATGTTTCCAATAAAGTGCACTGCATGATAAGGAAATTGTTTAAATGACAGAGCCATTAGTAGACGAAGGGGAGGGGTGAAGGCGCTGTGAGGCTGCCATCCCTCCAATAAGGCTCCTGATGTAAGGAGGAGCAGCCCGAGAAAACTGAGCGAATTTCAAATGATTATCAAATTACGAATCAAAGTTCATTAGGAATCTTTAAAGTTAGGTAAAAGTACATAGTGTCACCGGAAGCCATCAGTCACTTAAAACGTAAGCTAATGAGCAATTCCTACACAATTTCACATAAAGTTGACATGTCCACAATGGTGCTACCTCGCATCAACACTGCCCATGAGCGCGACAGTTGGAAAAAAATGCTCAAAGCATCGAAATAGTTTTCGAGCATTTCTTAGCTACGATCATCACCGAATGCAAGCTGGAATTGCCGCAACCAAGGCCAGGAAAGAGTAAAGTAGACACAACTTTTGTTGCATGGTCAAGCAAGCAATAAGATGCATGGTTGGTAATGGCAGACGTGGCGTCATCTATACTCGCGAGGAGGGCGGCCCCTACGTGACACATTCGTTCTCCGGCGCATCGGACGGTAGAGGCCAGGACGTGCACATTGCACAATGCACATTGGCGGCCTTGCACAGGTAGAAATGCACACGCTCATGCTTCATCAGTCAATCTGTCCATCAAAAACGTTCACTCTTAATTTGAAAAAAAACATTTGGCGCCAATAAATTAGATGTTAATGAATTCAAAACGCCCGAACTAACTTCTTCTGTTCCTGGTAGGTGAAGCCAACTTATTTCACATCCAGGCAGTGAGATAGCTGGGCATGAGTTACCCGTGAGTATTTGTAATTTTGCTATTAACAATGACGATGACCATCTTACCAACGGTAATCGAGCTCACCAGAAACATCTGCATACAAGATACACAGATCTATGAGCTTACCTTCTGCACATTTGTAAAAAAAAAAAAAAAAAAATCAGATAAAGTGAGAGAAAATGGTTACAGAAAAAGCAATAGACGTCCACTACGGGGTTACAGAGTACGGACCTTTTGGGCGTAAAATGGCATTCCCGTCTAATCAATGCGCAGTACCTGCGGCCAAGACAAAGTAATACTTTAGGTCAAAGACAATTACGTAACACCACAATAGTCTTCGCATCTGATAACATCTCACTAAAGCATTGGAGGCCCGAGAAGCGATCATCTTGTGTGATCGCTTCCAACAATTTTAGGCGGCCACACCCTAGGTCAGGATGAGCTGTTGTAAAATCAGTAAAATTATTCAACCTGTGTTGCAAAAATTAGCCCTCATGGCCCGGTGGAGGGACTTAAACTAAATATTAATGTCAGGTGCATTTCTTGAGGCGTCTTGAGAAGCCAGTCTAGCGCGATAGATCCGTGCCAATCGGAAATCCTAAGTAATCATTCCGGAAGAATACGAAGGCAGCGACTACGAAACAAGGCATTACAAACAAATCGCGTTATTTATAACGCTTATGCACACGACGCGTGTAGTGAACAAACGGCTACGTGGCAACTCTCACGGAGCTTCGCGCACTGAGGAAGATTTGCTCTGTTATTCCCAGAACAGACGTACCCGAAAAGTTCAGGAAGTGCTGGCACAACATGTGTCATACACACTCCACCGTTATCTGGGCTTAATTCGAGCTGTAGCTTGACAACACAGGCGGTAAGAGGCGGTGCCTCACCGGCCGCCGTACCGGTGGTATGCGGCGCGACACGTGGGTACACGTGACACGGGGTTAGGGGTGAGCGGTGGGCGCCACTTGGGCGCCACCACACAGCCGAGAGGCAGCAGCAGCAGTCGCCCGCCCTGGAGGCCCGAGAGCTGAGGAGAACCACAGACACAGTGCAAAAAAAAACTCGCAGCGAGGCGGCTGCAGTTGTGCCCCAATGAAATAACTCACGTTGATCCGTCACACAATCATAAGAAGAAAACTTCAGACACATTACGCGCATTAGAACGACTTCGGCAATGTGGTCGCCTAGCCAGATGAAACCGCCTCCAATCCATTTCCTCGCCTTCAATACGTCCGGAGCTGTCACCGGCCCGCGGATCGGTCAGCCTGGAGCTGACTGCACACACATTGAACGAATGGCCGAGCGCATTAATACAGTAATGGCCAGCCACACCGAATACCCGGAGACGGCCAGTGCATCAACTGCTGCTGCGTTCGCAGTACCAAGTACGGGTGTAGGCGGCGCACCGTAGCTGGAAACCTTTCAACCTCGAACGGCTCCATAGTGAATTTCTTGTTGATACAACACCAGTATAACGCCTTTTGGGGCGACTAACGGAGCGAGCGAGAGGGTGAGCCTTGCACGTGCGAAATTTCGACGGGGTACCTCCAGCTGACTTGTGCACGGCACCCTACTAACCGGTCTCTAGCGATGTGCCAAATTTGAGCACAATCGGCCCAGCCGTTCTCGAGATCTGGAAGCGGCACCCTGCACGTGCGCACGTGCAAAATGGGTCCCAACTGACTTGTGCACGGCACCCTACTAACCGGTCCCTAACTGTGTACCAAATTTGAGCGCAATCGGTAGAGCCGTTCTCGAGATCTGGAAACGACCCCTGCACGTGCGCACGTGCAGCAGCACCCCAACTCTGGCACATGGACATGCAGTGCCTAGTGGGTGCCTACCCACATGCCAACTTTCAGCGCAATCGGCCAAGTAGTTACCGAGATATTGCAACAATTACAAAACGGACACCTCTTCGTTTTGCACGTGGCACGTGCATAAGGGGTCACCCACATGCATCGGGAATAGTCCAATACTTGGTAGAAGGAATGAAGCTACCCTACAAAAATTACCGCATGTAAATCGGTCAAGTGGTTGCTGAGATATAAGCGTCGCAGAATCGTGACCACGGCCGGCCGGCCGGCCGGCCGGCCGCTCATACTCAGAAATTTCCGTTATTCTACGTAAGACTCCGCTCGCTTCGCTCGCTCCGTAACAATATGGTCAAAAGGCACAGACTAGTATGTCAATGCAGTGCCTACTAATGTTCCAGCAACTGATCAGCTACCTGTCTACCTGCCCCCACACCATCCTCACATATATGTCCACTAGTCTGTTGACCAGGAAATGAGTGCCTGGGGTGAAGCACGCATCTTTTCCAAGAGTTCGTCGAATGATCACACTGCAGCGGGGTAGGCATAATACACAGCAGCTGTTCTGATGCACCCATTCTGTCGCGCATAAATTCTGTTGTGCACATCTTACTTTCTGCATTTTAGCTTCGGTCAACTAGCGCTGAATTAGGCAGAGTTAACGCCACATTGCCAAGGTTACCAGGTCAGCTCTATTGCTACCGAGCAGAGCGCCATCTACACTACACCGCAGTGGCCTGGTAATGTTCAGTCGGGGGCACTTCAGCAGCGACTATACCCCGGCATACAGCTGGATCAAGTGAGAAGACGTTACGACGAGTTCAGGAAAGAGGCACTGCCGGAACGATGATAGAACGGCACGTCAACCTCCCCCCGACACATGGTTCAGCCTGTTGAAAGAACGCACGACCCCCGACCCCCTCCAGACACACGACCCGGGCCAGTGAGAGAAAGGACGGTCCGACGCGCTCATTGTCACACAGAGACGACGCCGCGCAGGGATGATCCGAGGCGACAGCAGTTGTGTAACTCCAACCGGCGCGACGCGTGATTCACTAATAAGCCTTCAGAGAAGACCAGACGACTGGAGCCTGGAGCCGCCGACCGGCCGGCCGGCCGCGCTAAGCCGAGAGCCACGCCGGCGACACCGTTCTCGGCTCTGCGCCGCTCAGATTAGCATACTGAACCATCAGGCGCAGCCGCCGTGCACTGACACACGGATTCATTGAGCACGTGCTTTATTATAAAGTGTCGCGGCAATACAGGGCTTGTGCAGTGTGATCATACATTCCATGAGCGTATCATTACTGCATATAATGTAAACGGTCAAAATTTACAGCCAGTTTTCGGCACACAACCAGTGTTTAGGATACACGTTACGAAACAAGCGACAATGAATTGTGTGTGACCGAATCACGCACTACAACGCAATAAATAGTGATAACAATACGCATAAATATACTCTGTATCTTGGAAGACATCGGTTGCTGCTGCTACACAGGGCTCAACGCGCACAATATCAAGTGCCTAAATGGTGTGCTAGTAAGGTAACTAAGTAACTCGCCATTACAATGTAGTGAACCTAACAATTAACTAGCTACCACCACCAAATAGTGTATCATAACATAAATCAGAAATAACAAAACGCTTGTGCTGATAAAACTCCGTTCTATAACGCGGGTTGTAACAAGAACGTTAAAGCTGGAGTCGCGGAGATGTGCCGGTGGGCGGCGCCGGCCAGTCAGAGACTCTGCTGCCTCTCGTTTGGCACTACAGTCGATCCTAAGTAGATGAGCCGCGATAACCGAGCCACTGTGGACCAGGGCCGGTGCCAGTGCGGGATCGGGCGGACCGGCGCCAGCGGCCCCGTCCCCCGATCTCGGACGGGGCCGGCCGGGACACCGCCATTACCGTCCCCACCCCGACCACAGAGCGCGACCCGGGCCGAGCCGACGGCCACTCCAGCCATCCGGCGACCATAACCGGCCGCAGATCGCCGTTCGCAGACGGAGCCGCCCGCATTTCAGCCACATCAACACACATCATTCGTCGAAAACGACTCCCGGAAGACTCGGCCGCTCGCTGGGCCGCGACGCGACCGACACAACACCGTCGGCGGTACCGAGAACCGTTGCGTCGCCGCCGACGCGGGCCGCGCGCGGCGTCCACACGACTTTCCGAGAAGTGTTCGCCGGCCGGCGGAGAGCGGCCATACGCGCCGGCGGATGGCCGCGCCGCCGGCCGGTACTGGCCGTCTCGGCCACTATCAAGCCTCCTCCGACCCGGCCCGCTCTCATATCGCATGCGGGTAATCGCCTCCGACGAGCCCCCGGTAGGGGAGGGGCGGCGGGTACTTCGGTAAGGACGGCAGAAAGACAGCTGCCGACTGGGAAGGCTGGACGGAAGACATACAGACGGAACAGGAAGATAAGTCAATAGGAAGCCTTGTTCACGGCCCATTCACACTCCGAAGCACACTCCGAGCCGAGGGCCGCGCGGGGCAGAGTTCGTGGTATAGGCTAGTGGGCAATACGCTGCCTGAGGGGTGTGAAGTGGTGTTGGGGAAACGTGATCGCGCGGCGATTACAAGGTGATGTTGGGCCCAATACACGCAAATGTGCAGCAGCGCCCGGGAACAGTGAGGTGCGCTGGCTCTGAAATCTACGCAGCTGGGGCAACTGGAACAATCGTCCATTACCATCAGCCTGACATTTTAAGTAGTCGGGCCATTTGGCGTCGCATCGCTCCGTCGCCGTAATCCGACAGTCTGTTTGCTGTCCTACTGCGCAGCAGCAGTGCAGCGAGACATAGACCCGCCAGAGCTCTACATACAGGGCCTTTACTCACAGCAGACGGCTCCTGCGACCCGGCGTGGCCGAGAGCACTGAGAGAGGGAAGCCGCAGCGCAGCGATTGGTCCCGCGACCGGCCGACCACACACTGGAAGTCGTAATCAGACCGACACGCTGCCGGCACGCGGAAGACGGGAGCGCATTCAGCTGCCGCTGGCCAGACGAGCGAACAGGCTGCGCTTCTGAGCAGCAGCCGGGCCTGCACTACACTCGGCCACTGCACCAATCAACTGATCAAAGTCCGATCAAACAACGGTGGCCGCTGCGGCGGGCGGCGGTCCGCCCGACGACACTTGCTCAGGAGCGGGCCGCCACGCCCTGCCGCGCGGCTGCCCGCGGGGACGGGCGACGGCTAGCGTGACTACTACCGATTATTGGCTGATGATAAATGCTGACGGTGAATGAGGGCCGAAACGGATGCCACCCACCAAAGACTGACATTAATTCCCCGGCTGCCTTTTCCTGGGACGTTTTCTTCCTACCGGTAGCGCCGGCCGATGTCCCCGCTGTCCGCACTGCCTTCTGCTCGCCGACACCGCCATCCGAACGTCCGGTCCGCACCTGAGGAGCGTCAGAACATCTGTCAGTGGCGAGCAGGCCAGACGTAACACGACCCGACATAAACGCCGCGCCACACTAAGCCGGGCCCTGTGCCAGCCGCTCAATGCTCATGCAACTTCCCGGAACACTCGCCGCCACGAAGACGGGGAAGCGAATGAATGGAACAAGATAATGCATGTTTCTAGCCACAGGGCGGCCGCCCACACGGTTCCCGGTCAGGACACGGACAAACAAGTATCGGATAACCGGGCCGGGCCCCCGGCGGCCGCGTTCGGCTGACCGCAGGCCGGCCCTCGGTGCCACCCGCCCACAGAGGTGATGGGGAACGATCAGCTTTACCCCGGTCAGCGCCGTCCACCGTGGTGACAACAGACCGACCAGCCGTGCCACTCAGCCGCCAGAACCGTCCAGACAGGCAGGGGCGCAAATCGGGATCAGCCGCCGCGTATTGGGCGGGTCAAAGCGCGGACATTGCATTAAATGCTAAGGTTGCATCACACGGATACGTATCCAGTGAAGCGAACTGAGCCATTCGCACTCGCAAGTCATTTACATAGATAGCAACAACTAACAATTTTGCAGATGATTGCATTTTTCATAGCTGAAATACGCGAGCAGAGTAGTGCACATTTTGTAAAAGATTGCATATATCCATGCTCAAATGCGCAGCAAGCAGAACAGATGATAGGTCCAGGCGCTGGCCGCCCGGGGCCCACTCATTGCAACATGACGCAGAGAGTTTCATCTGAACCCGACATCAAACGTAATAACACCATAAAGTTGCCCAGCTACAACACAAAAGTTGGCGGCCGAAACTCGAGCACTATTCATCACCGAGCGAGCGATTCAACCGTCCAGCTTCCGCGGTGATGATTCAACTCAACTTTAGTCTAGTTTCCGGAAAAAATGTGTCAGTAAAAAGCGAGTGGGTCATCACATAACTCAAGCGCGTCGTGATTGAGCCTTTTCGTCAGGCCGCGTTCGGTGTCAGCGTCGGCCAATCAGACAACTATAGTAGTCTGTGAGAGTATGCGTGACTGCGTGACAGGTCAGCAGCTAAGTGTTTAGTCGGAAACACGACCCAGCCCTAGCCTGGACGCTAACATTTCACAACAAAACCTGAGCATATGCCATGACTGATCCAAGCTCTTCCCTCCCGCAGTCGCAGCCCAGCCTGTTGTCCGCCCTGAACGGTCCCGCCCCGGTCGGTCTACGCACCCGTGCCTGGCCGCGGGGAGCTCTCAGCAGGCGCGGCCGGCGTACTTGACTCCGGCGGCGTTACGTAGCGGGTTCTGCAGCAGGTCCGGGTGCGACACCATGACGCGCAGCAGCAGCGTGTCCAGGTACTCCTCCAGGTCAGACGCCTGTGGACAGAACGGGTCGGGGAGGTTCAGGCGGGGCGCGGCCACGGACAGACAGCAGGTCGGGGCGGCTCGGACGGGACGCGGCAGAGGACAACGAGCACATACGGCCGGTCGGGACGGCTCGGACGGGATGCGGCAGAGGTCAGCGGGCACAGAGCGGCCGGGCGGCAACTATCAACGACAAAACAGGAAGTACCACATACCTACAAACTACACGTTATTAGTGGCATGCTGATAGATATAACGAAACAATGCCAACCATTTGCACGTTTCCAGCATTAGCCATTAGAGCTTCATGGGAAATACACACATGCTGACTCCAATTACACTTTTATAAAAAAGCAAATTATAGCGAACATACCAGATACAAAACTAAAAGAATGACACATAGAAACAGCCTAGAAACCAAAGCCAAGGTGATCACTGTTGGTAACAACATCACGTTGACAGCAGTCCCGCTCGGAGTGACTCACCTGTGCCTTGGACTTTTTCAGCTCGTCCTTGACCTTTTTCAGTTCGTCCTGCAGGCTGCGCACCTGCTCGATCAGACTGTCTCGCGAGCGGCCGTCGAAGGCGCGCAGCGTCTCTGGCGAGAGGCGCGACGGCTCGGCGGCGGCCGGCCGTCGCTCGTTGCCGCCCTCCACCACGCGGGACTCGCGGCCGTCAGAGAGGGGCAGCAGCGACACGGTGGCGCCCGCTGTCAAAGGAGAGACGGCAGCCGGTCAGTGCGGCGGCTCAGAGAGCGGGGATCGGCGGGTCGGGCCGCGATCCCCGCCACTGTGAGGGAGCAGAATCCGTGAGAGAGCACTGGCCTGTGGGATAATTGGGAGGGGAGCGGGAGGAGAAGAAATAGACGGGTCTAACCAAACGAGAGGAGAAAGCAATCAAAGTACAAAAAGAGTTTCCATCATTCGTCTTGAAGGCACGGCAGCCTCCGCCGGCGTGGATCGGGGGTGGTCCACAAAACATCCCCTCCTCCCGGGCCACGGCGACACCCGGCACCTAGTCTTCCTCGTGGAAAACATGGAAAAGGCCGGCAACACAGGTGGTGTTCCAGCACCCTGCGAGGAGCACCGAGTACCTGTTCACACCAGACATTTTCCTCGTCGGATAAACGAATTACATGTCAAGTACACGGAAAAAGGCCGAGAACAAACAGACTACAGGTGTAACTGTTTGCTTCTCTTAACCAGACTGGTGAGCGTATCGTAGAACTGGAAGCGAGCAGCGATGTGCCAGTCCCGTCTAACATTTCTAGAGAAATGAAATACATGTACTGTCTGTATCGAAAAAAAACCTTTAGAGGAATGCTAACAGTATTACACGAAAGTGTCATAACAACACTGACAGGAAACTCATCACAACAGACGGTCAAAAATAGCGATGACATCATCCTAGGACAGGATTAGACAAATCCCTGTCTGCAATTACCACTAAGTTGGTAATTAATACGCCTTGCGCTCGCTCCTCCACTAATGGCGTTACGCAGCGCGTCTGACCGCATTCCCCGGCTCCCTGCAGCCGCCAGCTCATCCCCACGCAGTCCGAGCGCGTGGCCAACAACACGGCGCCGGGCGGCGGCCGATCCTCTTTTCACGGCACCGGCGGCCACCGTTCCCAGAAGGCGGCGGCGATTTCTCTCTGTGGTCAGTGCCGCCGCCTCTGCGGCGATAATGCCGCGTACAAAGAATGTCACCGGGGGGGGGGGGCGATCTCCCCCCTGGCGCGCGGAAGGACCGCCGGGACATCACCAGTTGCGGGGTAAGTTCACGAGCCACCGATCTCGGCCGGAATAAGCCGACTGTCAGGCTCGGCACGCCCTCCGAGGACAACATTCTACGCCTCTACTTACTGCGACGCACCCGACATTAAGCAAAGTCACCGGAAGAAAACCTACAGCGTCGCCGGTCGGCAAGGCCAGAATCGTGGTAATGGCAAGCAGTCATATCACTGAACAATGGTTATGGTCAATACTGGCCAGGGATATGACTGCTACTGCTAATGGTTTGTCCAAGTTCGTAGGCAAAACAATTGAGGATAATGTTCCGAAACATGATGACTGCAATTGTTATTGACGTGGTCAAGTCAGTAGTTTGATTTTTTTTCACAATTACATTCTGACCTAACTGACCAATCTCGGCCTCAACTTAAATAACCGATGCTAGAGACGATAACTGATCAGTGAGTCTCCTGGCATAATTCCCCCAGAGCGTGTAACTTCATGCCCATCCGCTGTCACCTCGCTATCCGCGCGCTGCCCCTCTCCCCTCCAAACTCACGTGACTGCTCTTCCGAAGCCGGCTCTCTCTCGAACACATCCATCGGATCTTTCTCCTTCTTGGCGGCCAGCTGGCGGAAGATCTGCGGCGTCTTCTTGAGCGGCGACATCATCTTCTCCAGCTTCTTCTTCGCCTTGACGTCGCCCTCGGGCGGCTCGTCGGGCGTGTCGTCGGCGACGGCGACCCTCTCCCGAGGCTCGTCGCGTCCCAGACGGCCCGACGAGCGAGCCGACACTGCCAGTCGCCGAGCTGACGCTGAGGGAGCGCACCACGGCTGAGGTCAGAGGTCACGGACGGCATGAACGAGCGGGGGGGGGGGGAGGACAGGAGTGGACAAAACGGGACAGGGCTGGGCAGTGGGCAGAGCAGGGCAGGTCATGGTAGAGCAGATCAGAACGGGGCAAGGCGGGACAGATCGTGATATGATGGGACAGGACATGACAGGACATGACCGGACAGGAAAGGACAAGATGGGAGAAACCAGAGCTGACAGGAAAACAAGAACAGGCACGACGCAAAATACACTCGGGACTGAGAACCCGGGGCTGCAGTGGACATGCTTTGCTGGCACTCCCATCGCTGTCAGCGCGGCTGAGCCACTGAGGGTGACGAGAAAATGGGAGCGATGGGGCGAGCAGAACGGACAGAGTGGCTATATATGGGCCCGCACTTGGGACTTATTCCGTTATATAACACAAACAAATAAGAGATGGAAAATATTCATATTAAATCATCACCTATAAACCATTTCAATATAGGTGCATTCGTCGTAAATACCAAATATTGTGCAAGGCAACATTAAAAAGTGTCTCACCCGCTATATGACCCGACCATTATCATATCATGACTTATGACCACAATATGTATAGGTGATGCGGCGAGTTTCCGGCGCCGGGACCGTACTATGTCTCTCGTCGGTCCCGGCGCCGTGTGTCTCTCCTGGTCCCGTCGCAGTACTCACGTTCGGGACTGTCGGCCCGCGCGGCCGCCTGGGCCGTCTCGGCCGGCCGCTCAGAGATGGCGGCCAGGTGCGGCGCGGCCGGCGGCGCCTCGCTCAGACCCGACTGCACCGAGCTCGACAGACTGGAGAGCGGCGTCTCGTCGACCGTCGGCGTGCCTGGGACACAGCAGACACCGGTCAGAGTGCACCAGGGCACGTACACGGGCAAACTCACCACTCTGTTTGCAACTGTACTGACCAGACAACTAGCCACATCAGACAGATGCCAGGCGCAGCAACTGAGGACAGTTGACAGCAAGTACAATCAGAACTTTAACAGCTACCGGTCACAAAAAAACACCACCAGTTGTCTTCCGTTCCAGAAGACAGCGACAAATTCCGGTCATAACCCATAGCAGACATCCGCCGGCCATTCCAAAAGGCAAGAGCTCTCGAAATACGCACACAACTCACCAATTCTGCCGTTAACGAATGCACGAACATCTAAGTGCATTGATGTATAAACGCTAATTAAACCCATATAAGTCTGCACATTCTTGAACAAAAGTCAGAAAGGTTGAAAATTAGTGTTGAGGCTTCGCATTTCATCAAGTACGGCGCAAGTATTCCAATCAATAGATCGCTATTCCCAAGTTTAGCGCGAGCCGCGCTGCCGGCCGCCATCAGACGGCTGGCTCGATATAGAACATCAGTAGAGCATGTGTATGCAGGTAGCCGGGCATACGGTGGGGTTCTTCTCAGAGTCGCGGCATTCGGTTACCGAGTGTGGCCGGCCGGCGAGCGGACGGTGGCCGGCAGACCAGGCTGGTCACGTGACCCAGCCGACCTCTAACCTCTCCCTGCTCCCTCTGCTCGCCGGCGGCTCACCTCTGTGTAGCTGACGTCCCAGGGAGCCGTGCAGGTCCGGTGTCGCCGGCTTACGGCCGTGGTGGTGGTCATCAAACTGTGGCACACACGGCACAAATGCGTTCAGTAAGACAAACATGGAACACCCGAGTCAGGGCCTCGTTTCATAAAGCGAGTCCGTAACTTACGCCGGTTTTTGGTCTTGTATTGCAAGTGCATGTGAAGCGATCACGATAGTTTGAATCGCTGAATTTATTTATTTTGCAAGCAAGAACAGAAAGGAGAAGGGGAAATAAATTTATCGCTTCACATGCGCTTGCAATACAAGCCCAAAAACTGGCGTAAGTTAAGGACTCGCTTTATGAAACGAGGCCCAGTATGGCAGATACGTCACACTCGCGTCAGTATGGATCACGAGTCACGACCATGGGTGTCGTTTTGTATAGGCATGGTAGGGCCCGAGCCCTACCAATAATTTTGGAAATTTAACATTATGCCTATGGCGTTGCGTGGAAAGAATCGCTTTGCATTGGCAAAAATTTACATTAGAGCCCTACCAATAATTTTCGGAAAGTGTCGCCCCTGGTCACGACACAACCCGTCAGAATGACACACGGTAGACTCGATACAGTATGACACACGGCACAATCGCGTCAGTATGGATCACGACACAACCCGTCAGAATGACACACGGTAGACTCGATACAGTATGACACACGGCACAATCGCGTTAGTATGGCAGACGCCACGCTCGAGTCGGCACGGCACACACCAACACACAGACAAGACATCCATTCGGTGGCGGCTCAGCTCATTTCCAATCATTGCCACGACACGTATGTAAACCAATCATCACAGTCATCTACGATCGGCAAATTGCATCCTAGATGAAAAGCACGGTACAACTACGAGTAATAATGTGAATACACCCGTAATTACATACATAAAAAATTATTATCATTATTATTATTATTATTATTACTTCGTTTATTTCCACTAACCACCAGATGGTGGGCATTACAGGGAAATGTAAATAACACACAAACACACACACTCATACGTATTCGGTGATTAGTACAACTTTGGCTTGGCTAAAAATTGGCTTTAAATTCCAAAATAATGTATCTTATCCACTCAAATATTATACGACGACGCTCAACTTTGAGACTGCGCAATGGCCAGCATTAACATTAATCAGCATGTCGATTGCCTAGCCACGAGAAGAAGTCCGTGTTCAATCAGGCCAGTCAAACAGGAACAATGATACATAAGCGATACATAAGCCCTTGACTGTTCAATTACGCCGCCGTACGGACTGTTTGGGCAGCGCCGCTGATCGTTTCAGTGGCTACATCACGGCTTCCCTGGCCCCGAGTCGCAGGCGCGGCGCAGGGCGGCCGGTGCAGCCGCCCGGAATCGCTCCCAGACTGCCCGGCCGCGAGGCGTGGCCGGGCCGGGCCGGGGCGGCGCCACATCAGCAAGTCAAACGCGCACTATTGGCTGCAGGCGGCCGCTGCCGGGCCCGCCCGCTGCCGCCGCCGAGCAGCCGGGCTCGGCACTCAGCAGCTCACTGCACAGCGCCCAGCCGGACCGACAGAAGGATAAATGGCGACACTTGCATTTCTGATCATTATGTACGTGGTAGCAAAGCAGCATAATAATAAAAATTACACCAATCTCAAGTCCTATGATTGCAAAATCAAAGCTATGACGACAAACCTTAGTTGGGGCAAAAACTAAATTAAATTTGAGCACCACAACCAAACCCGAGTAAAGACTTGTAGGAAATGGCTGGTGTGCAGCTCTAGAAAGCATGGTGAAAAAAAATCCAATAGATACATTTGTATTTTCCATTTTCCATAGAGGCGATGGGCGTTATTCTGCAAAATCGCGGCGCCTGGCCTCGTCACGTTTCAAGCTTGTTGAAGCACAAGGAATATTATGAAGCAACCGATTTCTCGGACACTGATGTCGACGCAGTCGATAGCTGGTGAACTTCACTCGTTCAAAGTACCACGAGAACAACATTTAAAAAGGCAAACAGCTAGCACATGACCCATCCAATACGCTGCCCTCCAAGTCACGACCGACCAGTCGTTAGGCGAGTTCCGCTGAATTGGCAATCGCCAGTAGTCCGCAGTTGTGGGTTTCCCGTTAAGCAATTTTGATGGTGATCTGTTGAAATGGTTGTTCCTTGGACCAGCTGGGATATCCGATCATACGGCAACGGGACAGTGCACGAACCGCGCTGCTCGGCCACACACCGGCTAATGGCTCTCCGGAATCGGGATTAGGAGTGCTAACGACGCGCCGCCGAGCGGGCCCGGGTGGGCAGTGCGGACACGACTGGCCAGTGCCGCCGATGTGCGGACCCGACCCGGATGGGGCGCCGTGAGAACAGGTGCCGGCGGGTCCGGGCGGCGCAGCCACTGCCGCAGGGTTATCGGGGACGCCGGCGAACCCACACACACTTTGGGCCGCAGAATCAGATACCCGTAAATATGGTGGCGCGGTTATCGGCGCGGTCCAGGAGCCCGGCCGGTGTGCGGGCTCGCCGCTGTTCGCTGCGGGCCGATCGGCTGTCGTACCGATGACCCGACGGCAGGGAACAGAGAGCGCCGACGCCGTCAAGCCCCGACGGCCGCCGCAACCCAGCAATTACTCACACAATCGACCGGCACACCAATAGGCTAGCCCAGTGAGCGATCTGATCCAGCAAAATTACTCCGCCGAGGAGCCAGGTTATCGCGGAAACAGCTTTCTGTAAACCTATTATTGACGAGGGATTTTCACCGTACTGGCAGAACAATGATCTGTTGAGTGGCCATAAGTTGCGGTCAAAATGAGCATTAACTGCGTAGCATGCTCCCAATTCCAGACAAAATCGTTGGAGATAAATTAAAAATACTGACGGACACGATGCATAAACACACTTGTTTCCAGCGTATTGGGTGGCAATTTAATTGTATCATGGGTCAAATCAGCTGATGAATCACATAACTGCCTTCACTTGCCTACATTCTAAGCATCTTTTCGTAGTACGAATGGAGGGGCAAATCCAATGGTCTGCATGCACCCACACTACATTTGTTTAGCTGATTTTTTTTTTCTCACAGTCACCGATGTCCGTGTGTGCATGTATCCAAGCGTGACTAAGAAAAAACCGTCATGTTCGTTTATAAAATAATAGCATGCCAGCTCATAGCACAAACCGAATCGGAGCCCCACTGCCCGATCTTATCCATACTCGCCTTCTGAACTTTTCACTCAGAATGCAAACTAGCGGAGTGAGATGATTCGCGGAAGGCGATCATCCAAATCTCGTCACTGGCCGCGGAATAATGCGCTCAGGCGCTTTCGGCGGCCGGTGGCGCGGTGGCCGCTGGCGCCCCTCCCTCCCCGACCTCGGCCACCGCCTACCCGCCGACCGCAGAGTGGCGGCTCCTCTGCCGGCCACCGCAGCGGTGACCTGTACCCAGCCAGCCTCCCAGGCACGCCGCACAAAGAGGTGGCAACTGAGCTCCTCCCGGGGCCCGCGTGGAAACAACCACCTACTTAGGAGCCGCTTCCTCTAACGCTGGTACTCGTGTTGATATTTGAATGAAGTGTTACTTCAAACAAACAGCAAGGTTGTTGTTAATGCAACGGCAAGGTATGCTTTTTGCATCGGGTTTAACCATATTTAAACCGGTAAATCGGGTAAAAAACATTTTCATTTCAGCTCAGAGACTGCCCGTATCATTTCAGACCATTCCCACAAACCACAGCCTCTGGCCACCCGTGCGGGGCGCGGTCACTGACCCCGAACTCATCCTCCTCGCCCTCAGAGATGACGCCCGGGTCAGCGTTGCTCGAGGCGGCGTCGTCCCAGCCGAGGTCACTGCCGACATCCGAGCCGGCCTCGCTGCCGGCGCGCGAAGAGCCGCGCCGACGACCGCCCGCCTTTGCCACCTTGTGACCTGTCCGGGAGCAAACAGAAAGGACGGCAGTGTTAGACAGGTACCCGCAGAGTGGCTGGGAAACGAGTGGGTTGACGAGTCGATGTACATATTCGCAATCCTTTCCGAAAAAGCACACCTATAATACACCTATTATATGTAGTTGCAAAAAAAAATCTGGTGATAACCAGACGTCTCACTATCAATTGAAACGTTTTGGGACTTGGAAGTAAATCAATTTAATTCATTATCTTATTACCTTTAAGCCATTAAGAAATGTAACATAAAAATAATATAAAAATACACCGAGAGTCAAACATCGCTACTTAGAGTACAGTCAGGTACATGGGACATGAATGGAAGAGAACGAAATAATGGCCCAGCTGCGAAGCCTCCTGTATCCAGAGTGCCACAATTACTGCCACCGCGGCTAGTAAATACGCCTAAAAAAGTGACGAGGCGACATGCAGACATCAGGAAACAGTCTCGCCGGCGCGGCCGGCGTCCGGCTGGGTGCGTCCGGCCGTCGGGCACGCACCGTCCGCCGTGGTAATCCCAACACGGCGAAACGGCGCGCCGGCCGTCCGGACACGGTGGCAGTTTCCTGCTCCCTGCCCCGCCGTGTGTAGGACACTGGCCGCGGGGATATGCACCGGGTCACGTCCCCGGAATGACGGACACAGGTGGGCGCCGGGACGTCGCGCCGCGCATACCACACCGGGCAGCCGGCGACACAAGACGTAGATAGCGGCATTAAACACGCTTCCCGCCAAGGCCACCACAAAGCTAAACAGCTAAGCCAACATTTGAATTAAAATGAAAGTTGAAATACCTGCAATACTCCAGGGCTCCAAAACCACGAAATATGCAGTAACGAAACATAAATCGTCTCAAACCCGTCGTATTTCCCAACAGCGTACTCTTTATCTAAAACTGCATAAGAAAATAAAATAAGGACAATCACTTTTTGAATGGACACATGATCCAGACTAATGACCCTGTCCTAGCTAGGGTTCCCTGGAACCGAGCATGGTAAAGCAGATGTTCAATGCATTCTCCCCATTTTCCCCATGGTGTCGGCAGGGACGCTCTACGCAGGGGAACCATGGTCCTATCTTATTTCTGACGGCGGTATGCTGTGGCAGCCATATTCTCAGACTACCGATACACTACCGTTGCGGCGGGTGACCGTCCGGGCGAGGACATTACAGAAAGTGGCTAACACCCCGAGCTCTCTCACTCTCACACAACGAATCCCTTCTTTCAACTCAGATCCCCAGCGCCACTGTCCCGTCTCCCCGCACTCACCGACCGACGAGGCCAGCTTCTTGATGCTCTTCTTCTTGTGACCGAGGCTGGCCAGGCTGCCGCCCAGGTGGCCGGCCACCTTGGGCAGGCTGACCAGCGACGAGCGCAGCTTCTCGCCCGCGCGCAGGTCGGCCGTGCTCGACGAGGCGGCCTTCACCGTGAAGCCCAGGCGCACCTCGAGCTCACCGCGCGGCTTGTTGTCCTTCTTCTCCGGCTTGCTGTGTAGCTGGTACGTTCTGCAGGAGTGAGACAGGAGAGGTCAGCACGGCGCCAAACAGGCGGTAGGACGCAGAACACGCAACAGTGACATGTTTGCTGTCATGCATCTGGTTAGGATGACATAATAAGTTGAGAAAGACATGGTACAACAGAAAATGGAATGAACAATGCGTGAGAAAACAAATCATGCCAGTGCACTTCCAATAAAACAAAAGGAAAAGGTGGTCGTAAGGCGATACAATGTACATTTGTGTCCTGTCAGTTTTTCATGCACCTGGTTCTGGACAGATACTGGAAATCCCACATCGTTGCCCAATCACCTAGATGCATAAATCATTGCATGATCCCGTCAGCAGCCGTTCGGTCGGCCAGCTGCGTGAACCGAGTGCACTTCACCCACCAGCCTGTATTCAGAGCAGCTAAAGCGGCTTTTCAGTGAAGCTCCGTCCGAAGGGAGGGGTGCTGGCGGGTAAAGCGCGGCCCTCTGCTTCAATCGGCCCGGTGGAACCGCTAGTCTAAGTCTCCGGTTCTCCCGACCCGAGGGCGGCATAGCAACAGTCCGGCGGGTGGTGGGCGGCGGGAGGCGACTCCGGAGCCACAGCCCCGTGCCAACGCGCCCGGCCGACCGGGGTGTTTACAGCTTACGCCCAATGCAGGCATCACGATCATTCCCGCAATCCCGAGTGTCAACCAGACTGAGCACACTGACCACGGCCCGAGCCGTCCTTATCACACGTTCACAGAAAAAACACTCGACGCATTGACGAGGTAACTACCAGGACGACTTTTCGGCAAATTTATAGGAGCGCTGATAAACCGCTTATTTTCTATATCTTTACCCCTGCTCTTACATTCCGGAAGCAGTGTTTCAAAAGTAAGCTAAAATGGTTCTGGTATTCAAAATTCAGTAAACCGTAACAGGTTTTCCTCTATGAAATCTCCAGAGCGCGCTTTGACCACCTCAAGTAATGTTGGGTGATCCTGGTCGGCGTCTGACGTGGCCACTCTGCCGGTCTCCGTTACCTGTTGCGCGGTAGCTCGTAGACATCAAAGTCGGCCAGCGGGATGGAGGTCTGTCCGAGGAACTCGTCCACGCCCAGGAAGTTGCGGTGCAGCACCTGCAGACGTATCTCGGCCGTGTTGCCCTGGCTGGGGATCGTCCTGTCAACAGACGGCCGCGTTATCCGACCGCACACGCCGGCCACCATACACTCACACACACGGAAAACATATCTCCGGCGGTGGCCGACAGCTCTATACAGCTGCTCACTGAATGCTCCATCAGATTCGCAGAGGTATACTCTGTCGCTAAGAGCGCAGTGTCCAATGCCCAATGCACACATCCAGAGGCTGATAGCTGCACTGGATACACAAGGGTAGGCAAGAGACGCTTCATCCTGAGGCCCGGCAGTCATCTCTGAGGCTGGCCGCCGTCAGCAGTCAATGCCACTCACTCCTGGGTAAATGGAGGGGAGCGCGAGGGGCCAGGATTCCATGCCTGACCGCTGAGGCCCGGACGGAGTCAGAGTCGGAGTCGATTACCCAGTCCCCGGTATTCAGTCCCAGCCGGGCAGGCTGGCTAAGTATCTGGCTACACTGGTTGGTGTGACTGCCAATCTGTCCCGGGAAAGTCGATTTGGGCCGATATGGCGGAGCCTGTGACCGGGTCTTTTGACGCCGGTGGTCTGCGCGGCGGCTGACCGCGGCTGTGATCGGGTGTCGGCTCCAGCCGGCAGTGCGCGCGGCGGCTCAATGGCCGCGGAACGAGCGACGCCGCAGCGAGCCGCTCAGGCCGGCCGGTAGAGATTGACGGGTGATTTGGGGAGAGGTTTACAGGCCGATTCACATCCCGGTGCGGTACCAGGACGGTTATGTAATTAGACAGCAGGGTATCAAAACTCTTTTCATTTTTAGGTGGCCATCATTGTTCGTCGAGGAGTCCAGCACATACAGCTACATATTGATATGATACAAAAACATCAAGCATGCATGCATAAACAATCCGAAGCGAAAATGCACCCAGTGACACCATAAATACATCAGTCATCTACCGCCCTTTCGGAGGCAGGTTGCGATGTCTCCTTAACTATCAGCCGGCCTAGGTGGCGAAGTTCGTTCAGGGCACTAGCAGACCACAAAGTGGAGAAACCGGCGACACCAGCTCCCACCTCGACCACGGGAGTCGGGGTCAGCCCGCCGCGGTGCCGCGCGCTCCGCGGCCGCAGAGACTACGGCCCTACCAACAACAGACCCGGCCCGCTCCGTGGCGAATGTAGTCCATGCTACACACTCAGATTGCATAGCAGCTGTTCTGTAAGAAGATACGGCAGAGTATCACAAGTCACAGCCGCGGTGGCTTATCGTGTGTAATGGTGCGGCAACGCGCGTGATTGTGAACGACATTGCTGGGTTATTTCGAGCCTGCAGAGCAAAAAACGGATCCCTGGAAATTTCCAACAGCCAACGGGTAATATTTGGAAAATTTCCTACGTCATGTCCGATTGCGGCGATGTTTCTGACGTTGATACGGGCCCGCAGCAGCCTCATTAAAAAATAAAATCATATAAAACAAATCCCATTTCTTAAACCACTCAGCCGTACCGTAGCGTGGCAGCAAAGGTTCACGTTATCTGAATGCAAGGCTGGCACGTTACTTTTCATGCTGCGTATTTGCATACCCACCGTGACATTACCTACAACACCTGGGCTGAGGGGGTCGTCCGTGAGGATCCTCACGAACACCATGAATGGGATGAAAAGAGGAAGGGTGGGTAAAACGGCGTGGCGCACAGGTATATAGGGCCTTGCGCACAGTAGATACCCTGCACAGTAGCATCCGACAATGTTTTTCACGTCATATAAGCCACGGTATATAAGCCACATAAAAACACAACCAATTTCGCGTGACAGATAAACGGTTCAACCTCAATAATGGAAAACATTATTGACATTCCTGCAGATGTCAGGTTTGTTCATGTCCTCCGGCTAATGCTAACTAGACGAATACTCGATGCGTTGAAAATTTTCACATCAACATGGGTGACGTAATACAAGTGACCAAAAGCACTGTATAGTTGACAGGAGGAGCTTGTAAGAAATTATTTACAGAATCACGGCACACCACAACAGTATACACCACAGCATGAAGTCACTATCAGAGTGAAACCAATATCACCTCGCGCCACATCCCGCTGCCGGCTGCTGCGGTGGTCGGCCGCACTGGAATTACACGCCAGGCCGGGGCATTGCGGCCAGCTCAGCTTAACTGGCTGGCTGCGCCGCCCGTCCCGACCTGCCGACAGGTGCCGTGTCACGGCAGGTAGCTGACATCTCATCCTCCAACAATGCCTTCCACTAATGGAGCGTCCCGCGTCCGATCAAGCCAAGATCGCGCTTCAAAAGCTTGGCATGTTGAAGAGGGAGGAATGTCAGATGTTCCGGCATAGAATGCAATGTGGAACCAGGCAACTGCGCGTCAGTACAACAGAAAGATGTTATGCTTACTCGAGCTCAAGCAGTTTAAGAAGATGATTGACATCGTGCTTGAAAATTTCATCAAGAATTCACTACAGAAGAAAGCAACCCATAACGGAGAGTAAATACCATGAGCTGTAGCAATAAGTTCTCCCAGAAGCCAGAAGGTATCTATAAAACGTATTGGCACACTACACACTACCTTATTTTTGGACAGAGGATTCCACCCGGTTGAAGATTGGTGGCGAGCTTCAAAACATAAACTTAAATTCAAATTTTCAGAACTCTGCAACTCTAACACAGGCAGTGCTAAAGCATTTACTTTCCTGTGTTTGGCACCGGGCGAGGGAAATTGTAGCATAAATTTATCAAATTTGGCAATCTAAGAAATGATAAGATCGACAATGGTATGGTAAGAAATGGTAAGACCAACATAATAAACAGTTGAAAATTTTGGTATTTTACACAACTTGCTGAAAAATTCCTGCCGCATGCTATATCCCGGTACGGATGCAGATGCAGCGTTAGTTGTCTCAGCCGGCCACTGATCTGGCCTCTGGCGGAGACTCGCACCGCCACGTTCCTCCGCTCTCCGCTGCCGCCCCAGTCAGCCGGGATGGCACCTGACAGCGCCGAGCCAGGCTAATGGACCATAACAGGTACTGCGGCCTCATGGCACAATGCACGAGAGAGTTGTGCACACAGGGGCCGCGGCGACATTTGTCAAACATGGGTGAAATTTACGAGCACACTCTTAAAAATAAAATCGCTGCTCTCCTGGCGATTCTGAACAATCATTAGCGGTGACGGTGTGCAATACCAAGTACCACTAAATTATCGCAGAGGCCTACCGTTACCTTCGAGGTCACAAACAGCGGTCCCGACCGTAATAAAGCATGATCGTGTGCCAATTACTAAACATAAATGAAGTTATTTCTCTCGTGGGACTTGATTTTGAGAAATGAGGCACCGAATAACTGGAAAAAAATGAGATCAGAATCGGATCACTAGCATGCCATCTGGCTGATGGATTTGTACCTCGCCGTTTCGCCAGCGCTGGCCGGCCAAATTGGAGGCGCACCTGAGGTATGCCAGAGGACATTCCAGCGCTCCGTAAAAAACGCAGCATCCCGTGACGACAAAACCGCAACAGAGTAACGGCCGACATATTTTCCTCCGGCCGGATTCGGCTCGAGCCAAACGGACGGATAGCACAGGTTTGGCGCATAAAAATATTGACCACAAGAGTTCATTTTTGATGTCTTTCTTATCTTAACCAATGACAATTGACTTATGGCTGTGGAACACAATGCATCCTAGAATTACCATCAATAATGAGAAAAACAATGCCGTGTGGGCGAAAGCCACAGATACAATCAACTTCCCACATGCGATAGCAAACTAACAAAATACGAATTTAGCGGTTGCATGATGAGATACTATCGATCTGGGCTAATCACTAATTATAACGATATGGCACCTCCGATGCGTTCCATATCAATGCCTGATAAAGACATTATCCCCACGCTTATCGAAAACTGGATTATAACAATCTTATGTACATGTTCGTAGAAAAGGGAGGGCGCGGAGGATCAAAGCCAGGGGTCACGTTGTGGTTATATTCGGCGACAATCGCATTTTAAAAATACAATTGAATTGCATACCTACAACATATATTAGATGTCACGAAAGATACGACCTTGTCCGAACTCTCAGCCTGACTATACCGCTAAGAGGAAGGAAGACCGAGACTACTATCAAATGTCATTATAAAACTCGATCTTGGGAGATCAGCCATTTTTTCTAAGGCCACACTTTTCATCAAAACAAAACCCAGCAATCCGAGAAATTGTTCTCCGCGCGGAGAGGCGAGATATCAGAGCACCGCAATGGTGTGAGGTTTTCATTCGCACGTGCCCTGTAAATCCCGGCCAGGTGGAGCGTTTCCGTGCCGCGGTCACTGTGAAGTGTGGAGATCCGAGCGGCCCCGTCAGAAGACGTCCTCACTCACCTACCGGCAGATGTTCTCCGCTGCACAGTTCTGAGCTGGTAATATACCAGAGAAAATAAGACATTACGGACGCCGCAAATAACATGTTCTGATTATATAATCCATTGTGCGGTTTGAATTATTTTAACAGTGTTGACGCGTCCAATGCAGACACGGCTATATAGCGTCATTGGACACAACATGAAACATAATCTACGCGAGGTGGCATCACAACTTGATCTTGTGCCATGCGCATGCCCACTCAATTCTGAGGATCGCCGCATATATACGTCACCGACACAAATTGAGAAGCGCGATCCCATTATTCTAGTTACCTGAATGAGGATAGTCTTACGAGGCTCGGGAAGATCAAACCATCATCTATTACAATACGTCAGTTTAGCTTTAGCTGCAGCAGTTCAGCGCATTGGGGTGTCAGTTTAGCTGGCCTGAGCTGTCATTCAAGCTGGTGAACCGGGCACGGCCGATGTGGTCGTGGTCCTCGTGATGCTGCACAATAAGCTGTGTTTAGGTCGCACCCATGCACCTGATCTCCTCTTCATTACGAAGAACCTCTAAAAAAAAAAAACATCGCGAAAGCTGCAGCCGCGATTCAGAGAGCACGTGTTAATGAGTGGACCACAGACGCCACCACCGCAAATCGGAGCTCCATTTCACCCTCCAGTGCGACGTGCTT